AATGTATCCTTATCTATTTGTGTCGTTACTGTGCCATTTGTTAATTTTTACAGTGATATAAATATAAATATAAATATATTTTAAAATTTTTCTAAAATGTTTCTGTCAAAGTGGGTTTTACCATTAAAAAAGAACCTCGCCCACTTATGTTTGATATCCATACAAAAGTTAAAATGTGGTTGATTCAGGTAAATATTTGCAAAATATCACATAATGAATCCAAATAATAAATGTTTTTCTAATTTAGTATCTTTCGGCTTTTTTATCAACAGAACAAGAAACGTTAACTTTAGGAAAGTGTCAAAAGTTAACTTGTCGATGTTTTTGTTGCATTCCCAATAAAAACCAATCAGAATTGTTTTATTTGTTTAGGGTTGAAAGTATAGAAAAAAGTGTCAAGATTATGTTTGTTTTTTAATTTTAAAAAATTCTGTTGATCCTAATTTTAATTACCATGCCATTAATGCTTTGAATGTCTTAAAAACTATAAAAGGAATTGAGTCTTTGTGACAAACTCTGATTTTCTAATCCCTACAATAATTGATTATGTGGCAAAATCTCAGTTCCTTTAATGAATTTGAACCGCGTCTCAAATCAGACAAAACCGGTTTTAATTGAGCACCGGCTTAAATCTTGAAACATTGAATACAGTTTTCAGTGGAACCAACCATATTTAAGCCGCGTCTAAAATTTAAGCCTTGTTTCAAATTCAGTAAATGTTTTTTAAAATGTTTTTATTTATTTGATCCTTATTCACCTCAAATTTTAATTTTTAACTAGTCAGAATTTTTTTGTTGTGAATCTCCATCTTATGCAGATTCCTTTCGAAAATCCAGCGGAATCGTATACCCTGCAGAGATCAAGAAATAAGGATTTAAGCATTTGAAAGTGCCCACATTAGATATCGAGATCAAGAGTTTAAGATTGAACAATATCCACGCCAAAGTTCTGGCCTAATTTTTTAAATCGATAGATGGAAAATAGAACCAGTAAAGTTTTAAACGTTTTGTGAATAAAAACGAGGGTTTCGTGATCAGAATACATTAATTTTAGGTTTGTAAAGATTAAAGTCTCATCCGTATACACGTGCAGCTTTACCATAGGACATTTTTATCTTAAAGAATGCGAGGAAAATTTATTTCTTCATAAAAAAAACATACAAAAAATGCCTGTATGGCCAGGGTCAGGACACGATTGTATTTTTAATATTCAATATCTCTATCTTAAGGATGAATTTTTGTATTGGAGCCTGATAATCTCGATGCTTGATCTTGATATCCACAGTGAACGCTTTTGAATTTCAGGAAGAATCTGCTTGATCTCTTGATGAATATATCTGTAATCTCTCTGTTTTCTCATTGTTTGATGCAAAATCCCCTGGATTCTGATTGGCTATTCACGGGATATTAGATTGGCACTTTAGAGAATATCAAAAAAAGATTAAACTAACAAAAGATCGAGATGATGTCGATATCCACTGTATACAAGTTCGCCACTCTGTTAATTTCCAATAATAGTTTAAGTTTGTGTTGTTACCTAAGTTCTTAACCTGGATCTGAGTATTTTCTCATCAAACATTATAAAGATAACACCACAATATCTCCGAATTTTCCTGTTTTTAGTTTTTTAAAAATGCAAAAATCCAACTGTAAAGTTAAAATATTCTTTTGATTTCTGGCCTGTTAAATGTAAGGTATACCTTTCCACATAAAAAAAGGTGGCCTGATCCACTTAGTAAGCCGTTCAGCCATTAAATAAGCTAACACGCCAACTTTATGCATTTATTATACCAGTTGACAACTTCATGTTCCTACTTATTTTATTGCCTGGATATAAACCAGAATTATATAGTTCTGGTATTTCGTAGGTTGGATACTTCTTCTCTTCCTACTCTCTTCTGTTGTTCTACTTTTATAATTGATTCACAGCTGTAACTAACATAAAGAAATTAATGGAACCTTTCTGCTTACTTTTTATATTAATTGACCTAATGCTGTAAGGGGGAGGGGGGAGGGGGGGAATGTAAAGAGGAAACCCAACCAATTTTCCAATTAGTTAGTTAATATTTAGATTAATATTCTTTTTTGGAACAGAATTTTTCCATCATTTTCCGTGCCGTGATTTTTCGATTAGAAAATACGATGAGCATTAAAGACTGTGTCACAATTTTCTGTGAGTTTAGTGCGCAAATCGTGCATAAAGCTTTATTGTTTAGTGCGCAAATCGTGCTTTAAGCTTTATTGTTTAGTGCGCATGCCGTGCTTAAAGCGTTGTTATTCATTGCGCATGCCGTGCTTAAAGCTTTATTGTTTAGTGCGCATGCCATACTTAAAGCTTTGTTTAGTGCGCATGCCATGCTTAAAGCTTTATTGTTTAGTGCGCATGCCGTGCTTAAAGAGTTGTTATTCAGTGCGCATGCCGTGCTTAAAGCTTTATTGTTTAATGCGCATGCCATACTTAAAGCTTTGTTTAGTGCGCATGCCATGCTTAAAACTTTATTGTTTAGTGAGCATGCCATGCTGTAAGCTTTATTGTTTAGTGCGCCTGCCGTGCTTAAAGCTTTATTGTTTAGTGCGCATGCCTTGCTTAAAGCTTTATTGTTTAGTGTGCAAGCCGTGCTTAAAGCTATAATGTTTAGTGCGCATGCCATGCTTAAAGCTTTATTGTTCAGTGCGCATGCCGTGCTTAAAGCTTTATTGTTTAGTGCGCCTGCCGTGCTTAAAGCTTTATTTACAGTATCAAAAAGACACCTTTTAAACATTTCTAGCATACAATATATTCATTGTGAATTGGTGGGTTAGTAAAAGCTCAAATCCTTGAAGTTTAAAAAAATTATTTTCAAAGTTCAAAGACATGAAAGAGGCATGAAGGAGGCATTAAAGAGGCATGAAGTGGATCGTGTTTTCGAGCTTTTCTAGACTATTTTCTTCATAGTGGTAATCTGCAGGCTTCCTCAGGCTTATCAAACTGACTTAGCGTCCTGTATTCAAGTGTTAATCTAAAAAACTACATAAGATGATAAGCATGGATAAAAATATGTATTCTTTTTAGAATGCTTAAAAGAAAATAAACATATTGCTTGTCATGATTTAAATCACCATCAAAATGACAGATTCAATTAAAAATTTTGATTTCTTAAATGTGACGTTACATCTAATCTCCTCCCCCCCCCCCCCATCTACATCGATACATTAAATGAATCTTATAATTTTAAAATAATAATGTAAAGTGGAATCCTAGATATCCTACAATCTCGAGGAGAGGAGTAATCCAGATCATCCAGATACAGTTACTCTAGTCCACAGATACATTTAATAGTCTCATGCAGATACATTAATATTCACAAACTTATGGATTAGATCTTATATCAAGTCAGGATTGAAAATTTTGTCGGAAATTTTCATTTTTCCTGAAGAGGAAGATTGTATCTTCGTATTTGAACAGAGAATACTGAATTAGCTCTTGTATCTTCCTATTTGAACAGAGAATACTTAACTTAGCTGTAATATCTTTCTATTTTAACGGAGAATACTGAACTTAGCTCTAACTTCTTCCTATTTGAACAGAGAATACTGAACTTAACTCTAATATCTTCCTATTTTAACGGAGAATACTGAACTTAGCTCTAATTTCTTCCTATTTGAACAGAGAATACTGAACTTAACTCTAATATCTTCCTATTTGATCAGAGAATACTGAATTAGCTCTAGTATCTTCCGATTTGAACAGAGAATACTGAATTAGCTCTAGTATCTTCCTATTTGAACAAAGAATACTGAATTAGCTCTAGTATCTTTCTATTTGAACAGAGAATACTGAATTAGCTCTAGTATTTTCCTATTTGAAGAGAGAATACTAAAGATAACTCTAATATCTTTTTAGTTGAACACAGAATACTTTACTTACTCTAGTATCTTCCTATTTGAGCAGAGAATACTGAACTTAACTCTAGTATACGATCCTATTTTAACAGAGAATACTGAACTAAACTCTAGTATCTTCCTATTTTAACAGAGAATACTGAACTTAACTCTAGTATCTTCCTATTTTAACAGAGAATACTAAACTAAACTCTAGTATCTTCCTATTTTAACAGAGAATACTGAACTTAACTCTAGTATCTTCCTATTTTAACAGAGAATACTGAACTCAGCTCTAGTATCTTCCTATTTTAACAGAGAATACTGAACTCAGCTCTAGTATCTTCCTATTTTAACAGAGAATACTGAACTCAGCTCTAGTATCTTCCTATTTTAACAGAGAATACTGAACTTAACTCTAGTATCTTCCTATTTCAACAGAGAATACTGAACTCAGCTCTAGTATCTTCCTATTTCAACAGAGAATACTGAACTCAGCTCTAGTATCTTCCTATTTTAACAGAGAATACTGAACTTAACTCTAGTATCTTCCTATTTGAGCAGAGAATACTGAACTTAACTCTAGTATACGATCCTATTTTAACAGAGAATACTGAACTCAGCTCTAGTATCTTCCTATTTTAACAGAGAATACTGAACTCAGCTCTAGTATACGATCCTATTTTAACAGAGAATACTGAACTCAGCTCTAGTATCTTCCTATTTTAACAGAGAATACTGAACTCAGCTCTAGTATACGATCCTATTTTAACAGAGAATACTGAACTCAGCTCTAGTGTCTTCTCATTTAAACAGACAAGACCAAACTTAACATAAGTATTTTCCTATTTTAACCAAAAAAAAATCTGAAAATAAATTCAATTCTGAAAAACTAAAACTTTAGCCTCTGCACTTTATTTTGATTAAATTGAATTAGCTGATTGTTTCAAATTTGATTTAAAAAAGCTGTGGTGAAGTGGATATATTTTCCAAGTTTACAATTTTCGTTTATTTTAGTTAGTCGCACATATAAACCGAAACCTGAAACTTATAATTTATACTGTTTAAGTATCAGTTTTTAGCTTTAAACAAAAAATTATTCTTATTAAAATAATAATAAATATATTTGTTTTCAGAAAAATGACTTGAGTATCATCGGTAGTTTTGCTCGCATGGGTAATATGATATAATAATCAAAATATTTAGTTCTCTGTCCTTTTTAAGAAAATCTACAGAACACTAAATCAGTTTTTAGTTTCTTTCTAAACTTCACTTTCTTCTTCTAGGAGAGGATTCAACCATTAATCTTAAACATATATATGGAGTAGATACTGGTACCCAGGGTGGGAGGGGGAGTGGTGGAAGTGGGGACCAGGGGAGTGGTGGGTAGTGAATGGAGTGGGGACCAAGGGTAGTGAATGAAGTGGGGACCAAGGGTAGTGAATGGAGTGGGGACCAGGGGTAGTGAATGGAGTGGGGACCAAGTGGAGCATGGTGGGAGTAGAGACATTGAGGGAGTGATCTTGAATAATGGGAGGAGGATAGGGTGTATTCTTGGAGGGCTATAGGGCTAAATACCCTGTAAAACCATAGTTTTCACTTTTCTATTGGTAACCTGTATAGTATATATGGGTCCATACACTTAAATATAAGCAAATCAAAAATATAACGTAATTGACAAGAAACTAGGCATTTTATCAGAAAATAAATATTTACAGAGAACAGAGTAGAAATCACAAACAAACGCTGTGTCAAAGAAAAATCAGTCTTTCAGCTTCAAATATATTTAAACAAATTGTTAAATGGGGGGTTAATCAAATCACAAAAATAACAAAAAAAATATTTGGCCTTAAAATATTTCTACAAATATTTAATTTAACAAATAGTATTTTCAATTTTCTATTTTTTTAATGTTACCTAAATACATAACTAAACAAGACGCAAGTTTTAAGTTATGCCTTAAAAGTCTTTTTTATAATAACGAATTTAGTGATAAATTAATTTGAATCCCAGACTACATGAAGTATACAGGGTTGCCCAAAAAGAATGAGATTGTAAAGACGACACGAAACTCTTTTCATATTTCCAGGGTAAATTTTCTGCCCTAAATATATTCATAAAAAACTGAAAAAGTAAACAGTTGCAGGGAACCATTAATGTAAGGAATCAGACAGTATAAATTTCGTACAGTCGTCTCTGAAGTCTCATCCTTTGTGGTTATCCTTGTATATATTGTATACACAGCAAATATGTCCCCTTTCTAGCCCACTGTAATCCCAATTCAAGGACTAAATATTAATATGTACTCCTCTGTATAGTTCTGTATTAATCTCTAAAATCCTGAAGACAATTAATTATTAGTCCTCTGTCTTTCATATCCTCATCCCTCTTCCCCTAATGTAGACTCATGTTACCTCCTTTCCTTCCGTTGTGTTGCAAGAAGACTTGTCCCCACACCTGAATAATGCATATCACTATACTTTTTTTATTAAGTAACTAGTTAATAGAGAAATAAAAGATGAAGATTGTGATACTAAACGATTAAACTGCACATTCTTTATAATTACATTTCTGATCCCAAATGGGATCGGGGTTGAAATTACGTTTATGAGCATTAAAATACACTTTCTGTGTCATGTGAACTTTGGCAAGTTTTTTGTTTACACTTTAGAAATGTGTACTGCACTTGGGGTGTTAAAAGATGTAAATATCAGCAAGACAATAAGGCAAGGAAAGTTAATTGCTGTTGCGTATTATTTGCGTAAATATTGAAATTAGTTCTCTCTGGGCGGTGATTGTAAACATGAAAAGATGAATCAGTATCCGAGGAGGATAAAAGCATTTAATTTTGATAATTTTGATAATTCACAAAATAGTTTCCAATACAACCAGAATATTTCATTGATTTTTTAAGTGAGAAATGGATCCCATGTCAGGCTGTGACATCCGTACTGTGTTTACTTTACAGCCCAGAGACAGTATACACTGCTGCAGTACTAAAAATGCGGAGTCCTCTGAAATAACTTTCCTTGTATTATGAATGATTATTTGAATAAATTATGATATAAAGAAAAATGAACACTCTCAAGATGTATACATTCTGCGGTATGGAATTTTTTCTACAACTTGACATCATACTTCCAATTGTTTACAATAACAACATGGTTAATTCCTGCCACTATTATCAATCAATCAACATTTGGTATCGTATTAAATGGAATTATATGGACCTCTGAGTCATTTTGTTGTTAGATCCTGGAACGAACTGTTCGTTCCTTGGTGAAGTGAAGGCTACGGACCCTCTAGCATTCCTCAAACTAAATGAGTGAGTATTGAGTACACGCAAGAAGAAAATGTTCTCTTACTTTTTATTTTATTTGTTGAGACAATAGACCCGTAGAAAAACATTTATGCCTATAAAAGGACCTTTTCTGTCTTGTGCACTCTTTCTGATAAAATAAGAAAAAAATTTCATTTATCCGAAACACCAAAAATACTTCATATTCTTCAGATGTTAATTAATATCCCTACATCAAGGCTCTTTCTTAAAACCGCCCCCTTCACCTTCCATCCACGATTTACAACGGTTCTCTTTAAACCTTTGGCTGATTAAGGATAACAGCCTAATTGTAATTCTTGAACACTTTGTTTGTAAGCTATTTTATTTAAGGAATATTAAATTAACTTTCCTGAAGCGGCAAAACATAAATTTCTTCACATTCGAATATTTGAATCCCGGGTTGTACAGAAAATATATTTTCCAGATGTAAAGTCATCTGCCTTGGATTCGCACAATACACTTGCGGACACTCCAATTAAACTACTTTTTACACAGTAAATCAGAGATATACACCGAGTTCTCAATGCTCGATGATCCGTCAAAGGATTAAAATGTCATACCGTTTTGTATCGGAAATTTTTAAATGGAAGGGATCATTGGAAGTTACGCTGACAATCCCAACAGTAATTAATGTTTTCCAGACCTTGGACGGAGAAACCGTTTTCTCCATGGAAACCTGGAGATGCGTTCTCCCAGACAGATGATTGGTTGAACCCGGAGCATCAATCCATCAAGGAGGGGAAACAAATCAGGTTTAGAATTTGAAACTCTATAATATTGTAATATCTGAAGACTGTCATGAACAATTCACAATCGAATTTATCTTTTCATAATTTAATTGAATAATTATATAAATATCTAAAACCCTGAAATCACAAAAATTTTAGAACCTGAATCCACAATAATTCTTTTAGAACCTGGACCCTTGAGCAATAGTAAATATTTTAAACCTGGAACCATAATAAATATTTTAGACCCTGGAACCATAATGATTGTCATAGAACCTGGAACCACAACAAGATATTCTAGAACCTGGAACCATAATAAATATTCTAGAACAATGAACCACAAAAAACAATTTAGAACCTGGCACCATAGTAATTATTTTAGAACCTAGAACCATAGTAAATATCTTAGACCCTGGAACCATAATAATATTTTAGAACTTGGAACAATAATAAATATTCTAGAACAAGTAACCAAAACAGCATTTTAGAACCTGGAACCATAGTAAATATTATAGAACCAGACACCATAATGACTGTCTTAGAACCTGGAACAATAATAATTATTTCAAAACCTGGAACCACAATAATTATCTTAGAGCCTGTAACAATGATCATTATTTTAAAACCTGGAATCATAATAATCATTTTAAACTGGGAACCATAATTACATATTTTAAAACCTTGAAGCATAATAGATATTTTAGAACCTGAAACCACCGTAATCTTAGAACCTGGAACCATGATAATATTTTAGAACCTGAAACCACAATAATAGTTTAGAACCTTGAACCATAGATAATTTTTAAAACCTGGAAACACAACTAAATAATCTGGAACCTAGAACCACAACTAAATATTTTTTAGGAACTAGAACCATAAATATATTTTAAAACCCACAACTAAATATTCTAGAACATGGAACCACAACTACAATATTTTAGAACCTGGAACCATAAATAATATTTTAAAACCTGTAACTACAACTGGAACCACAATAAAATTTTAGAACCTGGAACCACAATAATATTTTAGAACCTGGAATTACAATAATATTTTAGAACCTGAAATCACAAAAATATTTTAGAACCTGGAATCACAATAATGTTTTAGAACCTGAAATCACAATAATATTTTAGAACCTGGAACCACAATAATAGTTTAGAACCTGAATCCATAATAATAATTATCTTTGACCCTAAAACCATGATAATATTTTAGAATCTGAAACCACAATAATAGTTTAGAACCTGGAACAATAAATAATATTTTAAAACCTGGAACCACAACTAAATATTCTAGAACATTGAACCACAACTAAATATTTTAAAACCTGGAACTACAACTAAATATTTTTAGAACCTAGGACCATAAATATATATTAAAACATGGAACCACTATAATATTTTAGAACCTGGAACCACAATAATATTTTAGAACCTGGAACCACAATAATATTTAAGAACCTGGAATCACAATAATATTTTAGAACCTGGAATCACAATAATATTTTAGAACCTGGAACCACAATAATATTTTAGAACCTGGAACCACAAGTCTCGACGATGGTATTACCACACGGCAGAGGGAGAAACCACAAATGGTATCACAGGTCAATCTTTATATTTATTTACAATTTAAAGAAAATGTTTATAATCTCTATTTTTATTGGTAACAATCTGCATAAATATGCATTTTGTGTCAAAAATATTAAATATTAAAATATAGCATTTTGAACTTGAAAGTATTCCCAAAAATATGTTTTTTTTGCATTAGACAGCTTTTCTTTTAGGGAATATGGAATAATAAATATGAAAAAATACGATTTGAAATCGTTTGCCAAAGGCAGTGCTCATTTTAAAAAGAAAAGTATTTAACATTTTTCTGATAAATGACTCCAGGAGGATATTATTTTCTGATAAATGACTCCAGAAGGATATTATTTTCTGATAAATGACTCCAGAAGGATATTATTTGATGCAAATATGATGTATTTACTATTGTACAGCTGAGGATCTACTCTATCCTATGTACATATTGTTTATTGCAAAGGAACCTTCGTAGTCGTATTACTTTAATTGTACTGCAGAGAATATATTCTATGTGCATATAGCATAATTGTACAGGAAAATTCGTTGTGGTAATACTAATTGTACTGATAAGGATCTACATCTATAAACATATTGATTTATTGAAGAGGAACCGTCGTGGTCGTAATACTAATTGTACTGATAAGAATATTTTCTATGTACATATTGTTTATTGTACAGGAACATTTGTGGTCGTAATCTTAATTGTACTGCTGTGGATCTACTCTATGTACATATTGTTTATTGTACAGGAACATTTGTGGTCGTAATCTTAATTGTACTGCTGTGGATCTACTCTTACATATTGTTTATTGTACAGGAACATTTGTGGTCGTAATCTTAATTGTACTGCTGTGGATCTACTCTATGTACATATTGTTTATTGTACAGGAATATTCGTGGTCGTAATACTAATTGTTCTGCAAGGGATATATTCTATGTACATATTGTTTATTGTACAGGAACATTTGTGGTCGTAATACTAATTGTACTGCTGTGGATCTACTCTATGTACAGAATGTGGATTGTTTGGGCATACACACTCAACTTTGATCAGGTGCATTTTTATCTTCAACTCAGGAATAGGAGTACTATAAAAATTTACAAGGTTATCCACAAATTATGAGTATTTACGCTTGATATATATATATATGACGTTCTAAAGCTTTTTGCTATGTATTTAGGGCTTTATTTTAATCTATTCCAGAGGTATTCAAATAGCCTACTATACTTTATTTTATTCTTTTCTAGAGGTATTCAAATAGCGTACTACTTTATTATCACATTTTCTTCTTTCTTGATAAGATGTTGTCCAATCTTTTACAGCAAACTAATAGTTACTAATAATACTATAAAGATCAAGATTTAAAAACTGTTTTAAAAGCTAAAAACCCGTTTAGCTGAAATAAAAAAGTATTAAAATTCTCTGTCAAGAGAGTTGCTGGAATCTTCCAGAAATTGATAATATATTTAGTTTTAATCAAGTCAAGTTAGAACTTTTAGAGACATTTAATAGGGTTTCTTTTTTGAACACGGAATAAGAAAAGTTAAATAATAAATTACAAAAATTTATCACACATTTAAATCCCTTTGCCAGGGTGGATCTTCATTTTTATGGCGAATTATTTTTAGTAAAAATAATATTTTATAAAAGCCACCTAAACCCTTATTTTAGTTTTCATCTCTTATTCTTGAAGTTAGTCCAGAGAGTGTTGAATGTCGTGGCTTGACGAACAAACGTGTTTTATATTTTAATCCTTAGAAATAATTAGTCTTGTTTTATCTGTGTGGGGGGATTTGGTGGAGTGGGAAACAGATTGTTAAGAAGAAAATCTAATTAAGAATTTTGTTTAATTTTTGGAGAGAAGGAGAATCATACACTTTTGTTACTTTTTACTAAAGGGGGGTTGAACCCATTTGACGGTGAAACGTATTTTCAAAAGGGGCCACTTAGGACTTCTTCCTTTAAAATAATCTCAAGGATTAAAAATAGTTGGACAGGGTTTGTTTATTTACGTCAAACTAAAAATTAGAAACCCCCTATCACTCTAGTATGCCGAGTCCATTAGCGCCTGATCAAATCAGGGTTCAGCCATGTGTTAGGTGTCTATTCTGAACCAATAGAAATTGCATGGCGGTAACATTTATCTTTCTATCTAGCTCATTATCCAATAAGGTATAAATCCTTATATCAGCGCTACAACAGTAAATGGAAATATCTCTGAATACAGACATTTTTTTAAAAATATCTCTGCGTATAGACAATATCTATGTATAAAGACATCTTTTTTAATATATCTTTATATAGACTTTTTTTTACAATATCTCTGTATGTTAACATTCTTTACAATATCTCTGTATATATGGACATTTATTACAATAGCTCTGTGTATAGAAATTTTTTACAATATATATGTATAAAGACAAGTTTTACAATATCTCTGTATAAAGACATTTTTTAATGAGTTTATATTGTAGAGTAAACAGAAAGAATGCATTGTGTTCTGGTGACAATAGATAAATATTTACTTATGTTTATACTACCATTAATGTGTATAGGTATTGGAGAAATCATTGTTTTTTATGACCAGACTTTCATCTTTAAATAGACTGTCCATGTAATTATTGAGGGACTGAGGTGCCTTAAATGTTGAATTAATACTTAATTATTTTAATCGAATTTTATATCAATTTCTCGAGACAGGAACATCAGATATGCTGTAGCCTATACCCCTTTTAATTTTAGTCCCTTTCAATAGCTATATACCCGATTTAAAGGGAGTGTTCGCGAAAAATGAAAGGGGGTATAGGCTTAATGCGATAAAAAAGCGCTTTTGATCGCTACTAGTATTCCTTCTATCTGTTGTTTCTATAAGGAGAAAATTGTTAAAAACTACAAATACCGAAGAACTTAGTGTCCATACAAATTCAGAAAGATGCACCTTTCAACTAGGATCGTAAACAAATCAAATTAATTCCAAACAAATCATTCAGATATTACAAGCAATAGTCATCGATTATTTTTCGACGCATTCGTAAATAGCTGATATTTCATAATATTTTGTATTTTTCATGATCTGAGAGTTACTTTTGAAAACATTTATTCCTGTTTCGAGGATTTTTGATAATGAAGACGACATTTTCATATTTTCCAGGAATGTTCGAAAATCCAATTCGCCAGCGAAAATTATTAAAATAAAATCTAAAATACTATGAAATATTAACTGTATACGAATGCGAACACTCCCTTTAAGTCAACAACTTCTTCATTCTAACTCAGATAAAGTTTTTAAAGGTTGTTCTTTTATGAACAAACATTAAGATTATAATTTAGATTATGTTTCTCACGCTGGAAAAATATGAAATATATATAAATACTTTTTATAAAACTGAATGAATTTTAAAACATTTTTCTAAATAATTTTGTTCAGGCAACAGTTGCAAACCCAAAGGGTTGGGATTTCCTAGTATCCTGGCTCTCAAGCAGAATAACAACCAAGAAAAGGAATTTATAAAGGATTCAACTAGAATATTAAATGAGCTCTGAAAGACACCATATTATCATATTTACACTTTAGAAAATATTTTCTAGAAACTGTGTTCACTAAATCATTAGACTAACAAATATTTAGCACTTTGGAAAAAATACTTTGGAAATTTTAATCCAACTCCTCTATAGTCTCTACTGAATAATTTTTAGGAATATTTTGTGCTTTGTTTGATTCTTAAAACTGAATATCATAATGGAAGAAAATTCGGCCAAGGAATTGAGTCTTTGCCACAAAATCAATTTTATAATTCCTATATCTTTGCAACTCGATTGCTTAAGTCTTTGATATTTTCAATTTAGATTATTTGATCTATCAGAAATCATAGTAGTTTGAATATACAAGGTGTACGACATTGGGTTGCAAACTTATAGGGATTTTGAAAGTTAGAGCCTGCATGTCGTAGGAGCTCTTTTCATAATTTGTGAATAACGAAAACTCGCATTTTATAAAAGTTTTTGTATTTAAACATTTATAAAATGTGTTTAGAAGAAGCAGAAAAAAAGGCTGTGTTCAGGACATAGAGAGGCACAGGTAAAATACGTTCTTTAGAAATAGAAAGGAAAAAGTTAATCAATTCTTTAGAAATAGAAAGGTACAATTGTGAACTGGTTTCTATCAGTATAATAAAAAGGTACAATTGTGAACTGGTTTCTATAATAGAAAGGTACAATTGTGAACTGGTTTCTATCAGTATAATAAAAAGGTACAATTGTGAACTGGTTTCTATCAGTATAATAAAAAGGTACAATTGTGAACTGGTTTCTATCAGTATACTAGAAAGTTGCAATTGTGAACTGGTTTCTATCAGTATAATATAAAGATGAATGTGAAGCAATCATTTAGAAATAGAAAGCAACGGTTACGTGCTTTCTTTAGAAATGGAAAAATATCATGCTGCACAAATTGTAGATTTAAAAACAGATTGCATATACAGATCTAATCTTAGAAGACTGAATAAACATGTTCCAAATACAACTATATACTGATCAACCTAATGTAAACACAGAAAGGGAAAAAAGAAAGAAAAAATCCTGAATTAAATACCATAAGATTTTAATATATGCTAACCTTCTTGATGTCCTTAAATTTTAAAGGGACTGTACGTGTAATTTCAATTGTCTCTCTTTGCAAGAAGGGATGCCCAATTTACACGCAGTGTCTTTTAAACCTTTGACTGATCAACGAGTGAACTTTTACAGCTGGCGTTAAACTCATTTCTTAAAAATCTAAAATGTGTTTTGTTTTCGAAAGGTGATTTTTAAAACATCGATGTAAATCTGCGTTTCTTGAAAGTAGATTTTGATATTTCTTATAATCAAAAGAAATTTAAAAAAAGTGTTCAACAATTGTGTTTGTGTAAATAAGATTCGTCATTTTCAAAGGTTTGAACTGTAATATTATAAAGCCAACACGTCACTCTGCACATGGAGTGTTTACGGTCCATTTAAGAACTTTATTTTGCACATGGAGTTTTTACGATCCCTTTAAGATCTGTATTTTGCACATGGAGTGTTTACGATCCCTTTAAGATCTGTATTTTTCACAAGCAGTGTTTATGATCCTTTTAAGATCTGTATTTTGCACATGGAGTGTTTACGATCCCTTTAAGATCTGTATTTAGCACATGGAGTGTTTACGATCCCTTTAAGATCTGTATTTAGCACATGGAGTGTTTACGGTCCCTTTAAGATATATATTTTGCACATGGAGTTTTTAGGGTCCATTTAAGATCTGTATTTAGCACATGGAGTGTTTACGGTCCCTTTAAGATCTGTATTTTGCACATTGAGTGCTTACGATCCCTTTAAGATTTGTATTTTGCACATGGAGTGTTTACGGTCCAATTAAGATCTGTATTTTGCACATGGATTGTTTACGGTCCCTTTAAGATCTGTATTTTGTACATGGAGTGTTTACGGTCCCTTTAAGATCTGTATATAGCACATGGAGTGTTTACGGTCCCTTTAAGATCTGTATTTTGCACATGGAGTGTTTACGATCCCTTTAAAATCTGTGTTTAGCACATGGAGTTTTTACGATCCCTTTAAGATCTGTATTTAGCACATGGAGTGTTTACGGTCCCTTAAAGATCTGTATTTTGCACATGGAGTGTTTACGGTCCATTTAAGATCTGTATTTTGTACATGGAGTTTTTACGGTCCCTTTAAGATCTGTATTTTGCACATGGAATGTTTACGGTCTATTTAAGATCTGTATTTTGCACAAGGAGTGTTTACGGTCCCTTTAAGATCTGTATTTTGCACATGGAGTGTTTACGGTCCATTTAAGATCTGTATTTTGCACATGGAGTGTTTACGGTCCATTTAAGATCTGTATTTTGCACATGGAGTTTTTACGGTCCCTTTAAGATCTGTATTTTGCACATGGAGTAATTACGGTCCATTTAAGATCTGTATTTTGCACATGGTGTGTTTACGATCCCTTTAAGATCTGTATTTTGCACATGGAGTGTTTACGGTCCATTTCAGATCTGTATTTTGTACATGGAGTGTTCACGATCCCTTTAAGATCTGTATTTTGCACATGGAGTGTTTACGGTCCCTTTAAGATCTGTATTTTGTACATGGAGTGTTTACGGTCCCTTAAAGATCTGTATTTTGCACATGGAGTGTTTACGGTCTCTTTAAGATCTGTATTTTGCACATGGAGTGTTTACAATCCCTTTAAGATCTGTATTTTGTACATGGAGTGTTGTTTACGGTCCCTGTAAGATCTGTATTTTGCACATTATAAATTTTGAATCTGGAAATGAAAATTGGCAACAAATTTTAATTGTCTAATCCCTATATCTCCGTAGTATGATTCTGTAGACCTATGATATTTCACACTATGATTAATTTTGTCATATCAAATAGTCAAAGTTTGTAAATATAAAAGGTTTACACCATAAGCTTGCAAAGATTAAGGGATTTTTAAAGTAAAGTATTTAGTGGCTAGCAAATAAATTATAAAGTACAATAGGTGGCATCAGAGCAATGGGTCAATTATACACGACGTCAAAAGTGTCAAATATAACAAGAAAAACAAAATTTTCTCATATTAGTTGACGCTTGACATGTTTTCCAAGATTAAATAAAAAAGTGTAAAAACAGAAAATAAAGAACAACATATAATTGCACTTATTTCACTGTAAGATAAGCTCTTTATTCTAAAATTATCACTATCATTAACAATTTTGTCGGACACAAAAACTAAGTTGACACTTGTGACGTTAGAATACAGCAGTACTGAGAGTGTACAAATTCCACGTTGTATTTAGGGAGATATTAGGCCATTTATTGGAGACTAATGAAGTAAAATCTGAAGGAGAAGATCACAATGAAGAAAATGCTAAAAGTGAAAATGTAATCCAAGATCAGTATTATTCTAAACACAAACAATTCAAAAATTATAATTTGTCCGAGGAAGATGAGAAGAAGAGAGAGTTTAGGGCGTGTTCTGAATACAGAAATAATATAAAAGGGTGAGTTTTTGATTTAACAATTTATTCAATTCGTTCCAAAGAAACTGAAAACTTGCCTCATTATCTAATTTTCTTATTTTTATATCTTTGAAACCTGCAAAGAGATAAGAATTAGAAAATCAGAGATCAAGTCCAATGTCCAGTTTGGTTGCCCATGTTTACCCAGATGTTCATCATATACTTAAAAAGCTACCACATTAAAATGAATAGACATTTTATAATTTCACTTTTCTCGTTTATATTTTTCTATACCTAGAACTTTACATTTCTAATACTTAAAGTAATTGAGTCATAGCCACAAACTATAATTTAAAAATCCCTTATATATTGCAACCCAATGTCTTAGATCTTAGATATTTCAAACTGTAAACTCTGTTGGCTCAGATAAGTTTGAAATATCAAAGGTTTACATTATCAGTTTGTTGGGATCTAATCCCAAAAAATTGGGATTAGAAAATTTGAGTTTGTGGCGAAGACTCAACTCCTTTAGAACTTTAAATTGTAATATCTGCTTAAAGATCTGTGTCTGATATAAGCTGGTTCCAGCAGCCCACCAGGACTAGGAGAGAGAGCTACCGACAAGGAAGCAGCCACACAAACCCGTCAATCCTTAAATCCTTTCCATCCTACAATAATTCATACCCGGAGAGAAGACCGTCAATCCTCAAGTCTTTTCCGTCCTACAACGATACCCCCCTGGAGAGGACGTTGTCCAGGTCTAGTTCAAGTCAAGACTTCTCTCCCCAGGTCTTTTATCAGGTTCATCCGGCACAAGTTCACGTTCAGATGCGGCAACAGAGGTTGGTTTTCGAGCATTTCTCTGTAAAATCAGATTTTAGGAATATTGAACTTTATTTTTGAATTAATCTTTTCAAATTTATCAATGCATTACAATATGACATCCTTCATCTAGTTCTAAGTATAGTTTTTTGTATTTTTGGACATTACAAAATGTGTCCGATAAAAATTAATTTGACTAAGATTTTATACTTTTGTTTTTATATCTTTGCAGGTTAACACTGAACATCACTCGCCACAAATTCTAGTATTTTAATCCATATATCTTTGTAACCGAATATCGTCACCTTCAACCAAGAAATATATAGACCAGGAACCGCCATATCTGATGCGTCAAATCTGTGTCCTGCAGTGGGAGGAGATCAAAGATAATATATATATGATATGCAGGCAGGTAGAAACCTCCTTCCTAAATTGCTAAAAACATACAGTACGCGTATTGCATCCTGTATAGTTCAAGTGTTGCTATCTGGACCTGTTTGACCAATAAAATTAAATTTCAAGGTAACACAAACATACAGTACGCGTTTTGTTTATGTTATGATCAGATCAGTTGTACTTTGTCCTAGATTCGATGTACTTTTATAGTAATAATTTTTATTTAAATTGCGTTAATTTACGTTTGCCATTCAGTACAACTTGCACATTTAAACTTTGTCTAGTCAAATTCTTACCTCAGTTTTATTTGCATTGATTAATTTGTTTCATTAAGTACAATATGCAGTAAACATTGTTAATACTATAGTACGCATTTAGTGTTATCACGCATAAACAAAGTGATAAATTAGCAACAATCCAGAGGATAAAATGCCATGCGTACGACAGAGATGGTGCTGTAATTGCACCTTTTCTCAAGACCTCTAAATTTATACCTGCCTGCATATCTATATATATATTATCTTTGGAGGAGATCAAAACAAAGAATTCAGGGGCAATGCTTCATTTTTGAGGGAAAAGTGCTCAAGGGGTGGAATAAGAATATATTGCTATTGTATTTTCCATATTGACCATAAAACCAAAAATTATAAGTATTCGGTCTAACTTGATATATTAACTTGTTTTTTGTTGGACTGTAATAACACATCAGAGCTGTAGTCCTTTCCCTCAACTTCTGTGGGGGTACTGGGTTTTTTTTACATTCCTCCCACAGTGTACAGTACACAATTTGCGCATATCTGAGTTGGGCGTTCCTGTATTTAGTTCCTTGCCTTCAACTAAGCTGTTGCGGTAAGTTACAGTAAACTGACTCAAGACATAATTGGTTTTAGCTTAGCTAAGAGTGTCATAGGCCTTAGATGTTTTAAACAATCAAATTGTCTAAATCTAAGATATCTAAGGTTTCAAATTTGTAGGGATTAGAAAACAGAGTTTGTTGCGAATAATCACTGAATCATTTTTTTGGTAAATAAACCTCTATTCAGACAAAGGAAAAGTGCTTCAGTGCAACATCTAGTAGAACAGCAGCGGCTGAGTTTAGGTCCAAATACAGTTTCAGATTTACAGGTAGCGTTTCCTACTCACAGGCAAGGATGTAATGCGAGGCAAGTTGATTACGGTCGTGTATACTCTGCGTACATATTGAAACCAGTTCCCTTTGGGCGGAATTTGTAAACAAGAATAGCTGCATCAGTGTTCGTTTAGTATCCGAGGAGGTTAAAGGCATTAAATTTTGATAATTTTGATAATTCACATAATAGTTTCCTATGACCAGAATATTTCATTGATCTTTTTTATGTGAAAGATGGATCCCATGCATGAGGCTTCGACATCCGTCTTGTGTTTACATTACCGCCCAGAGACAGTACACTGCAGTAAAAAAGATGTGTACACTTCTGAAATAACTTTCCTTGCATTACATCCTTGCTCACAGGCAGATCTTTTAACTTCAAGTAATCTTAATTAAGTTTTAAAGAAATATCCTTTATTAGAGATTATTTTATCAATTATCTTTTACATTCGAAAACAAAGTAAAACTAACTTTTTCCATCTAAAAAAATAATATTTAAAGGTCAGGGTTCTTGAAAGGATTTATATCTGCAAAAACCTTTCTTTTGATTTTCTTTCTAGATTAAAGAGAGAAGATTATCTTATCATCAGAAACCAGAAGATGAACCTATCCGGGATATCAGGGGCGGAGGCCAACACCTCCCTCCAGACCCTCATGGAGTAGTTCGGTTTAACAAAAATCCTCTAAACCGACGGAGGTTTGACACTTTTCAGAATACGGGTTGGGGATCTCTGGATAAATATACTGGAGAGATGAGATATCCTAGATTATCTAGATCTAGTTATTACGCAGATCAGGGTTCTACTTCTAGGAACCTACGACGAGCCGATTCAAATCAAGATGATTACTTTACACCTGAAGATAGTAGTGCGCACAGGATGCGCGTAAAGAAATATTTGAATGCACGTGAATCCAATGATTATATGCGAATGACAGTGCGCTCAGAAAGTCCCCAACCTCTCACTTGCAATCAATATTTAGAAATTGATTAAAAAGTTGTCGGTTAAAAGATAATTCTACATTTCACTGCTATGTTATAAAAAGTACCCACATAATCTACAGCTGGCGTGTTTCAATAAACATAGGATTCTAATAAAGACTTCTGAATCGTAATACACGTAGTATTCTTCGAAAATTTCGTTGCAATGTATTCAAAGCGAAAAAAAAAATTTCAAAGATGTATAAGATGTTGTCTCCATGTTTTCTATCTTTTTAGAGCAACAAATAACTTTTCCAATTGAAAAAAAAACCTATTTATTCTTGACCAAACAAAACTTTTTAGGTCGTATTGTTGTAAATCGGACCTTACATTCTATAAATGAAGCTTAGTTTAAAATTAAGTTTAAAGTCCCTTTAAATTAAAATATAATGTGTTCAAACATTTCTTGTGACACTCCATATGTGACGTTTATCCCAACTTAATCATGAAATGAAATAAATGTTTAGAAATGCCAAACAAAAAAATCTAATTCCTTCCAAGCTTTGAGAAACCAATTTTCAAAAAAGAGAGTAATTTTCTTTAAATATTTGTTTAATATTTAACAATTTTTCGACCAATGATAAAATGTCTAGATGAGTACTCTAATGTGTAACGACAAATTTGTGTTAATGTGTAATGTAATGTATTAATATGTAATTTTATAGATATAACAAATATATAAAAGATTTATCTAATTAAATTATGCTAAATTAATACAACTAAAAAATAATTAATACAGATTAGAACGTGAATGTAAGTCTCTAAGTTTCGGTAAAAAGACTCAAACAAATTTTCTAGCACTTAGGTTTTCCTAATAATAAGCAACTTTGAAGCTTTTTAAAGTCAATTGTAAACCAACCAAGGGTTTAGCCAGTTGTACATAAGCTGATATAAGTTCATTGCTCCCAGCGGGGGAAATGATGCATAATAAATGCAATCTATAAAGCCAAACAAATCCGGAGTCCATCCAAGAGTATTAATCTCTGAGTATGTGTGCAACCCTAGATATAGAACAGTGTAGAACATATAAGGCTGCAAGCTGGCCGGGGGGTGAAGTGAACCCGGAGTATAGGTAGCCTGACAACAAACTCCAAAGAGTATCAAACCTTTTTTTATCTAGAAAAATAGGGGAGTTAGGGAACAATAAATCAGTCAGCACAAAGTATCTGAAGAGAAGAGTCGAATGGAAATATATTCGTCCCCAGGTGTAATTAGATCAACTTTAGTTGTTCCATCACTAATTGTTTGTATAGTTAAAGTATAAATATATGTGTGTGTGTAACCATGCTTTGTTATTCCACTCAATCTTGGTTTTTTAATACTGACATCTTTTCAAGTCTATACAACAATCAATAACATTTTTTTTTGCAGTCTTTAGCGGGCTCGCAAAGGATTCCGCTGGGTTCGGGCAGTGTTCTGCTAACTTCCTGAGTTCGAACAGGATATTTCTGTGCTCATGTCCGCATGGCTCCCCTACCTCCACCTTTAGCCGTCTTTACGTTTATTGGATACAAACCATCAAAAAAACACCCAAACGCCGAAACGTACAAAACAGATAAAAGAGATTTGTTGTTTTGATAATGATCTAAAGTCAAAATATGGTAGAAAATATGCCCCCCCCCCCTTCAATATTCTAATGAAGTCACCAAAACAGTGTTATTACCGTATTATATATTCAATATGATATAGAAAAATGCACAAGCATATTATTAGAAAATATTTGAATATGAAAAGCATAAATTAATTTCTTTATATTTTGTGTTAGAATCTCGAATCCGTGGGTCTGAGGTCTCTAGATTATGTTGATATAAAAAAATTGCAGCAAAAATTCATGGCTTTGCTTCTATACTTTTTTAAATGGTAAAAAAAAGAATCTTTGAGGACCTCCTTCCTCCACCACTTAAATATATTTGATGAAAAATCTAAACAATCTTCTTAAATACTGAACGTTTATAAAATATGCTTGGGCTTTCATATCCTAGCAGAGAAAAGAATGGCTGGTGAGGCTATAAAGTATAAATAGAAAATAAAGAAGATTATTGTTGTTTGATCGGATTCTAAGATTTAAAGGCATAATGAAAGCATTAGAGACCAAGAACTAGGATGGATACTGAACTTCATAATATTTAAGAACATAAATAGTAAACATTTAAGGTGCTCGCCTTTAGATGCACATAGAAATGAACGTTAATCAATCATTCAATCATAAATAGTAAAAATTAAAGTTATATATATATAATAGATATAATAAAAAAGATACATATTTAGTATTTTTGAGGACTAATTCTCACAATACTAGAAAAGAACATTGAACAAAGAGAGTAAAAGGAATGAAAATAAAAGGATACAAATTTGAAAGTAACAAAGGAAGGGGATAAATGTAATAAAGGAAAAATTTTAGAAAAATAGATAGAATTTAGAAAAAAGAAAAAGATAGATGGATAGAATAAAATATCCTTTATATCTTTATTAAAATATCCAAGTGATGGAGATTGATATTCAAGATATGATCGATAAAGGATATGATAAATAGGATATTCTTAAAAAGATATCATATGATTGGATATTCAATAAAGAGACATGATAGATAGGATATTAAAAAAAGAGTAATGATAGATTGGATATTCATTAAAGAGAAATGTTAGATTGCAGATATTCAATAAACAGATATTAAAAATTGGATATTTAATAAAGAGAAATTATAGATAGGATATTAAAAAAAAGAGAAATGATAGATAGAATATTTAATAAAGAGAAATGATAGATTGGATATTCATTAAAGAGAAATGATAGATTGGATATTCAATAAACAGATATTATAAATTGGATATTTAATAAAGAGAAACGATAGATAGGATATTAAAAAAAGAGAAATGATAGATAGGATATTCATTAAAAAGAAATGATAGATTGGATATTCAATAAACAGATATTATAAATTGGATATTTAATAGAGAGAAACAATAGATAGGATATTAAAAAAAAAGAGAAATGATAGATAGGATATTCATTAAAGAGAAATGATAGATTGGATATTCAATAAACAGATATTATAAATTGGATATTTAATAGAGAGAAACGATAGTTAGGATATTTAAAAAAAGAGAAATGATAGATAGGATATTCATTAAAGAGAAATGATAGATTGGATATTCATTAAAGAGAAATGATAGATTGGATATTTAATAAAGAGAAATGATAGATAGGATATTCATTAAAAAGATATGATAGATTGGATATTAAAAAAGAGAACTGATAGATAGAATATCCCATTATTAGATAGATAGATGGAGATGATATCCGATAAGGAGATAGATAGATTAGCAAAAACTCACATATATAGAAAGTTTCATAGAAAGCTTTCACTTAAGGATATAGCAGTACTAGGCCATATATATACACAGGGGGCACGGGAATACCTTAAAATGAAAATCTAAACATTAAAATTTAACTTGAAAATATCAATGTTCACCCTGTTAGTTGATTTTGATTCAGGATGTTTATGAGAACTATTATTCGTGTGTGTGTGTTGTGGGGGGAGGGGGTCCAGGGCCCACCCGTGACACTGACACTGTGAAGTAAGTATCCTGTATACTCTGGTCGGCAGCTAGTGTTCTCCACTCAGATATTTATAGAACTATAGCAGAGTGCGACACTATTTATCATGAGAGACAAAACTTTAATTTTTCTATTTTCGGAGCAAACCTTTTTAAAAGTTAATTTCAACAATTCTAATATTTATTTCTTGATGTTTGAAAATGAGACCACTCAATTAAGCAATTAGTGATAATTTGCCTTTTAGGTATAAATGGTTTAAAAATGCTTGTTTTCGAAGAAGTGGAGAAAAGGTAATAATATAGTTTAATTTATCTAATTGGATATTGATTTTAAAATACGCTGAAACAAAGTTTGAGAATTTTACAACGAAGATTTTTTTTACCGAACTTCTTTAGAGAAATCAGTGAATCTTATTCTTATCTTTAAATATTTTAGTAAGGAGTTGCTTTAAGGAGGATGCTTTAAATAATTTCTAAAAGTTTGGGATATTGGGGGATCTTACGACTTATTTTTTTATTAGTTGGAGAAGTTCTACTATTTAATAGGTTGAGATTTGGACGGCTCTTTCCTTAACCTATTATTCTCATTCAGTGTTGGGAGTTAAGAGGCTATTGAGCTATTACATTCCAGGGTTGGGAGTTGGGAGTGTCCTTACCTTTCATATTTACAGTGTTGGAGAGTTGGGGTGTCTTTATCTATTATATTTCAGGGTTGGGAGTGTCTTTACCTATTTGTATTCCAGGGTTGCGAGTTGGGAGTGCCTTTATATATAATATTCCAGAGTTGGGAGTCTCTTACCCTATTATATTCCAGGGTTGGGAGTTGGGAGTGTTTTAACACATTAAATATTCAGGTTGGGAGTGCCTCTTCCTATTATATTTAAGGGTTGGGAGTTTGGAGGCTCTTAACCTATCTTATTCCAGGGTTGGGAGTTGGGAGTGTTTTAACACATTAAATATTCAGGTTGGGAGTGCCTCTTCCTATTATATTTAAGGGTTGGAAGTTGGGAGGCTCTTAACCTATTATATTCCAGGGTTGGGAGTAAGGAGTTGGTTAACCTTTATTTATATTCCAGGCCTGGAAGTAAATTAACCTATATCATCTGGATGATATGTGGGTGATATCGTCTAGATATCATCTAGAAATCATCCAGATATCACTCACATATCATCCAGATATCACCCACATATTATCCAGATATCATCCACGTATCATCCACATTTCATCCAGATATTTTATATTCCAGGCCTGGAAGTAAATTAACCTATTCTATTCCATGGGGTTGGGAGGCTCTTAACCTATTCTATTCCAGGGTTGAAAGGCTCTTAACCTATTCTATTCCAGGGTTGAAAGGCTCTTATTCTATTCTATTCCAAGGTTGGGAGTTGTTTTTGTCTTGACCTATTCTTATTTAAGGGTTGGAAGTAATGAATTCTCTTAACCTATTATTTTCCAGGGTTGAGAGTTGACAGTGTCTTTACCTATCATAATTGCAGGGTGGGGGAGTTGGGAGGATTCTCCTCTAAACTTGAGGAAATTTTACTTTTCTTACTCCGAGATGCACGAGACATGAGGAACCATTCATTATTCATTAATTACTTTTCCAACTATAGACTTCTTATACTGGTCAGACAATATTTAATATTTCTGCAATATGCATATATTATTTCAAAATCAAACTTCTGCTTGTCATATTTCAACAATTGTAGGTCGTATTTAAAGTTTCATCTTTAGCGGGTAACCCTGTATTTCTAAAAATGAATTGTGCTAGCTATTCTAATCAAAATTTAAAATAACAAAGGTTTTAACAATCATTGTGTCATGATATTAGGCTTAGAAAATTAGAGTTAGAGGCATTCAATCCCTTTCCCATCTCGATTCTAGTTTTTGTTTCGCGTCAATTCTTAAACAGACCAGATATACATAAATGTTTTCTTCAAACAGAACATATATATATTTCAGTTTTTAACTTCACATTTTTATTAAAAAAAAATTATACTAAACATAATGTTTCACGTCTATCATGACGATGTTTTTTTTTCATTACAAAGAAGTAACTGTTAATGAATCAGCTTGAAACAGGGAGACTGCAAAAACTGAAAATGATGCCAGAAAACTGGAAATTGAGAAATCTACCAAAAGTTTGGAAGCCTTGATGAACGAAGAAACAGATAAACTAAGGAAAGGGACATTACAAAATGTGNACTTGGTATTTTCTGGAAATATTATCAGGGAACTTGGTATTTTCAGAAATATTATCAGGGAACTTGGTATTTTCTGAAAATATTATTAGGAAACTTGGTGTTTCCTAAAAGAAGTGTCGAATGGTGACTCCGTGTGTCGATAATCGTTTGATCGATTGGTAGTAAATTTAGTAAAAAGATATAAAACCATTTTAATGTTTTATAAAACAGAGAAATTATAAAGAAAGAGAATATGGAAAGACAGCGTGATATGAAGGTAATCATTCACGCTAAACTAACATCATTCACGCTAAACTAACATCATTCACGCTAAACTAACATCATTTACGTTAAACTAACATCGTTCACGCTAAACTAACATCATTCACATTGAAGTAACAACCATCACGTCAAACTATTAACAGTCAAGCTAAACTAACAATAAATAAACATGAAATATGTTCAAATCAAAGATTTTAGAAAAAAATGAATTTGGAAGAGTGTTCCAATGAATATTAAATGTTCATATTCAGGATTTAATTTTAAAACGAAAATGAAAATATACCTGACTTCTAGAATATAAAGAATTTTAAATGTTAAAAACAGGAACTGCTACTTATGTAATTTGTAAGTCTGATCACCGCTCTGTAACCAAAAATTAGATTTTTTAGTTCTGGGATTTCTTCTTTCGTTCCTTTTCCCTCTACTATTCACCCTGCTATGCCTGTCCTTAAAATTCACCACTTTTTTTCTTTTTTTTTTTCTTTTTTTTAAAATTACTTTGTGCTTTGTGTATAAGTTATTTGTTAATTTCAAAAAAAAATGTATGGATAAAACTTAAAAGGGCCAGCCAATCAAAACGAACAGATATGGTTAGCCCTGGCTAATGATAATTTATTTATAAATTATAAAATTTTAAACGTATTTATTGGGTCAGTCTATTTTAAATCAACCACTTTTTCCAAAAGTCAAAGCATCACGTTCGGTTTTTTAAAAACTTTAAATATTATAAGATATTCCAAAATCTATAGTTTTTTTGTCTGAGGTCATGAAATTTTGACTTCTGCAAATGGTTGCAATCAGTTCTTAATTTCCAAATTTGAATAGTGGATTCCTAACATATTAAGGAGCTTTATCTATGAATTAAATGAACATTAAATGATCAGATATATTCTTATTTTAATTTGAGCAAGCTATTTATCTCAGTTGGTTTGGCAGAAATCACTGAAAATCGACGAGTTACGTTCACAAAGTTTTTTCCCCGCCGACCATAAACTTTGTTTTGAAGATACTAGAGGTACCACAAAAAAAAGTCCCATTGGTTCAACCGTTTTGAGGTATATTAGACACAAGCAAACACACTAACACCTGAACGGACAAGCCATTATATTATGTAAATATGAAAAACTGCCAATGGAATATAACAACTTGTTTTCATGTTTTCTTGTATTCCAGGATATAGAAGCATATGTGAAGATGGAAGGTGCAGAGAGAAGGAAGGATATGGCTGAGATTAAAGAGAAAATTAAATCTGAGGAAGAAAAAAGATTAGGTAGGTTTCTTAATTACTTAAGAAAGAGATTAAATAATAAATATGAATAAACCAGGTGTGGCGTTATTTCTGGGTAAACGTTAAATAATGGTAGTAGATTCTACGCAGCAAATTTTCCGCGGCATTCGCGCACAATTCTGTGAATGTAAAAAGTATATTAAATGAAAGTATTTCTTATATTTGAGAATCATTCAAGTTTGGCTGAGCAACAGACAGAAAAAATCAATTGTTTTAACATTAAGGATCAATATTACAGCTTAGTACGTACGTAAGTTAATTGTTAAGATTCTGCTACTTGCAACTAATGAGAGTTTAATGTATAGTTAATTACTTCTGTACTCACATTATATATCAGCATATAGGGTATGTTTTAAGTGTATAAATATAATTTATAATTTTGAAATTTCAGATAAAATACCAGATTTCTGTTGTATGCATTGCCTTAAACTGCAAAAATATGTGCGAATGCCGCGGAAAATTTTCTGCGTAGAATCTACCTCCATTATTTAACGTTTACCCAGAAATAACGCCACACCGGCCTAACCTGCCATATATACTACAAATGATTTAAAGATTCTATTTCGGAAAAAATATATTTTTACTTTCAAAACTTCTGAAGTCGTCCTAGAGATGGTCACTTTAATTAGGAGTATCTTTAGAATCTATGTAAGAAAGTCCCGGGGAAAAAAGTTTCTGGAAAAAAACTCAGGAAATAAAAACTTTGGAAAAAAGTCACTGGAAATAAAGTCCTGTGTTTTGGATTCCTGGGACTTTTTTCCTAAAATAGTATGGGGGCTTCCAATAAAGTCACAGGAAATAAGATCACAGGGAAAAAAGTCCTGAGCCGGCGATTTAAAAAGTTCAAGAATATACGACTCGGGTCTAAGCTGTTGTTGAGCCTTATATACGGGCTTTCGGATTTAAGTTGCATCTATTTTTCAACAGAATTTAGTTCTTAAAACCGGTTTAATTCTGTATTTGACGGATTTTCATAGTTGGAATTGGTGCATTCCGGGTTTTGATGAGAATAAGACCAAACATTGAGCCTTATTCTTCCATAAAACCAACCAAGGTCGGTTTTATTTTCATTGGGCCTAACTCCTTAAGTCGAGCCTAAGATCTCGCAGCTGTCAATCACGTGACACAAGCTGTCGTCAGAGTTGGGTCTAAGATTGGGTCTTAAAGCTGCGTTTAAGGAATTAAGACTCGAGCCGAAGGTTTTAAATCGCGGGCTCTGAAGAAAATAAATCCGAGGAAAAGAAATTGTGAATCATGCATTTTCACTTGTTAGAGGACTTTTTTTTGTACAAAATCATACTGGAGCCAGAAAAAAAGTCCTAGAAAATAAAGTCTCGAATTGGTAGGACTTTATTTCCGGAGACTTTTTAATAAAGGACTTTTTATCCTCAGGACTTTTTTAGTGTGAAATTTTAGCACTTTTTTCCGGAAACTTTTTTTCCAAGGACTTTTATGGCGGTTACCTATCTTTAATCTTGAACGTTTTATCTCGATACCTAATGTGGGTATTTTTAAATTGAGTGTCAATACTTGATCCCCTCATTCCAGAGAATAAATTTACTGCTCTATTTTAAAATTTTGTTAAAATTTTAATTAAAAATAAATGTTAAAAAATCTGCGATAAGATGAAGAAATCAGTGTTTGATCACGAGATTCACAAAAGTTCTGAACTTCTGACTGAAGATCAAATTCAGATTCTGACTTACAAACTATCGCCGCAATGGTTTTAAGCCCCTGGAACATATTTGTACTGTTTGACCCTTTAAGCATATTTGTATTTTACTGTTTGACCCTTTAAGTATTTGTGTACTGTACTGTCTGACCCTTTAAGTATATTTGTACTGTACTGTTTGTAAGATGATGCTAAGCAGATGCAGGAGAAGATGGAGAGGGAGAAGAAAGCCCTGCAGGAATATGTGGAGAGGGATGCAAGGTAAGCAGACGCAGTAGTACGTAGAGAGGGATGCAAGGTAACTAAGATATAGAGGGGGGGGAAGGGTTAAAACCTTACTAAAAAATGAATATACAGAAATGTAGTTAGTACGAGTTACAGTTGACTTTATCAAAAGGCGAAATTGTTTTTAAAAGAAGCCATCCTCACCACCTACTCTTTTTTTATTACCTTCGCAACCCTAAATCGTTTACCTATGTTATTCTTATACATGCATCCTGTTCGATCAAAAAGGCTAAGTTTGAAATATCAAAGGTTTACACCATCAGGTTGCAATAATATTAGGATTAGGAAATTTAAGTTTGTGGCAAGAACTTGGATCATTTTTCGATATGAGTTGTTTAGAAATATACTTTGGAGCTAGATGAGATCTAGAGGAATATACTTGGGAGCTAGATGAGAACTAGAGAAATATACTTGGGAGCTAGTTGAGACCTAGAGGAATATACTTGGGAGCTAGTTGAGAACTAGAGAAATATACTTGGGAGCTAGTTGAGAACTAGAGTAATATACTTGGGAGCTAGTTGAGAACTATAGGAATATACTTGGGAGCTAGATGAGAACTAGATGAATATACTTGGGAGCTAGATGAGAACTATAGAAATATACTTGGGAGATAGATGAGAACTATAGGAATATACTTGGGAGCTAGATGAGAACTATACGAATGAAAATAACAATGAGAAAGTGTTTTCATTCAAGCATTCTAATTGTTTTTAGTAAACACTGCATGTAGTGAGCAGAACATTTTTACGATTTCTTCCTAGATTCTTTTTTTTACAATTGATTGTGTTATTTTTGTAAATTTCATTTGTTTATTTGCATGCAAGAAGAAATAACTGAAATTAAATCAACCTTTAGGGGGCAACTTTTAAGTTTTGCTTGATTTGCGTTAGATCTGCGGTTTGTTTTCTTGTCCCACTTGTAAATATACTAGTTTGGAATATACAAACTAAGTGTGGGGGGGTGGGTGTTAGGAATCCCTTTAATTAAAGGAAAAGTTTCGTGAAAATGTAAAACTCTTTAATGATAATTGTTGATATATTGCGTAATTATTAACTGTTCAGAGAGACGAAGGAAAGGCTGGCGGAGGAGAACAAGGCTTTACAGCAGAAGCTGGACAGGGAGGCAACAGAACTCAAGAAAAGGCTCCAGGTACAAAAGAGACAAATTAATGGAAGGGGGGGGGGGGGTAAGAGGATACAAGGAGGATGTGCAAGAGAGGAAACAATGTGGTTCAGCAGAAATTGGACAGGGAGGCAACAGAAGTCAAGAAGAGGTCCAGTGATGGGGAAGCTGCTGGAAGGAACAGAACTTTAAAGATATCCAGCGGATATAAATGAATTATTTTAATTTTAAACTTTCTAAATGATCGAGAAAAGTTTGGTATGTTAAAAATATTTTTTTATTGAAACATCGCGGGTTGGTCAATCACTCCTCTTGATGGCCATCATATGGCATGTTTTGCCAATTAAGTAGGCCGGATGCAAGGTCAAAGAGCAAATCAGGCGGTTAAGGGACTGTTTGCACTTTTTACTAAAAAATTTCTCCCATATTTAAATTTTACCTTTTCCTGTTGTAGGACGTAGACGAGGAGAAAGCTGAAGAGATGAAGATCCTGCAGCAGAAACTGGATCTGGAGAGAAAACTACTTAATGAGAAGATGGAGAGAGAAAAGGCAGAGTTAGGTAAACCCAAGGTTATAATGCAAGGAAAGTTAATTGAGGTTGCGTATACTCTGCGTATATATTGAAACCAGTTCTCTCTGGGCGGAATTTTGTAAACACGAATAGATCCATCAGTGTTTGTTTATTATCCGAGGAGGTTAAAAGCATCAAATTTGATAATTTTGATAATTCACTTAATAGTTTCCTATGACCAGAATATTTCATTGATTTTTTATGTGAAAGATGGATCCCATGTAAGGCTTCGTCATCCGTCTTGTGTTTACATTACCGCCCAGAGCCAGTACAAAAGTACAAAAGTACACCTCTGAAATAACTTTCCTTGCATTATAACCTTGGGAGAACCTAGATTTAACAGACAGGACATGAGTAACACAGAGATTATACAGACAGGACTAGACTAGCTTAGAGAGTTAATAGACAGAAACAGAGTAACCCAAAGATTAAACAGAGATGATAAGAGTAAAAGAGAAATTATACAGACAGGACTAGAGTAACCTAGAGATTTAACAGACAGGATAAGAGTAACACGGAGATTTAGCAGAGAGGACAAGAGTGACACAAAGATGTTAACAGACAGGAATAGACTAACACCAAGATTTATCAAACATCACAAAAGTAACAAATGAAGTATTCAAGAATCAATTTCCACAAAGAAATAATCTTTTACAATCCAAAACTTTTCAGAATTGGAGCTAAATGTCTTGATATTTGATTTTGATTTCCAATTTGAAGGGTTACAGGATCTGGTGGGGGTTGTACCTCTAGCACATCGCAGATTAATGAAAGCCATATAAATTTTTCCTTTTTTAATCATGATTAATCTGTATATAACTTCTTAAAGTTTTTCTTTTCAATTACTTGCAAATATACTGTAGAAACAGTATAAGACTGGGGCTGACAAGCTCTTCTAAAACATTATAATTATCAAAATGTCCTGTAGCATTATATTATCAAAAAGTGTTCCTGAAAATATCTTTTTTACAAAATAGAAGTTTTTTTTAAATACAACTTTCAAATTTCTGCAAAAATGACAAGAAAGGGAACTGAAAGAATCTATTTGCAGCTCCGGAAATTCAAAGAGCTGCACAGAAAACAATTAAGAAGTTTCAAACTGTTCAGTAAATATATTTGCAGCTGAGGAGATGGAAAGAGCTGAACAAGACAGGAAAAAAGAAGCTGCAAACCTAAAATCTAGAATGGAAGAAGAAGCTAAACAGACACAGAGCGGAATAGGAAATTATCTTCACAAAGAATAAGTTTAAATATCTATGAAGTTAAGCCGGTTCTGAATGCATAAACTCACAACTCCGATTATAAAGATATTGAAATACCATATGTTATGAAGATTATTTTTAGTTACGATGTTTGAAAGACTGAAGGTGAAGTTTAAAAATTAAATCACATAAAAAGTTAAAAACGAATAGTTGAAAAACAAAACCAAGATTCGACCCAAAACCCAGATTTACTGATTTACGTCACACTAAATATTGGTTCACCAATTCTTTGAAATTAAAAATGTTTTCAGACCGAAAACGAGACGAGGAAAACCGAGATCCATGGTTTAAAGGATATCTTGGTTCGGGAAAATGAAAAATTAGGTCAGTTCGAGAAACTATGTGCAGCGAAATAATCTGTTTTATTCAAATTGCAGAAATTAACGTGTTTTCAAATAAAATTATAATTTACAATGAAAACCAGAAAACTGTGGAAAAGGAAGATGCCATTAAGTAATACTTATGTGTATGTGATTTTGTTAATATGTATTTTAGACTATTAAAATCTAAAGTTTTTGATCCTGACTGTATTAGCATGTTCAAAGACATTTCAATACATGTGTAAAAACGATATTTTCCTACACAATTTATGGAACTACTTATTTTATGAAATTTTAGAATTTAAAATCTATTGTTAATCGAGGTCGAGACCAGATGTTGCTGAGTCAGAAACTGGACAATGCTCTTCAGGATTTAAACGAGAAAATTGATCAAGAAGTCACAGACGTCAGGTTAGTCTTTGGAGGTCACAGACGTCAGGTTAGTCTTTGGAGGTCATAGACGTCAGGTTAGTCTTTTGGCAGTCTCAGTTAAGTCAGATGAGTTTTTGGAGGTCACAGACGTCAGGTTAGTCTTTTGGCATTCACAGAAGTCAGGTTAGTCATTTGGCAGTCACAGTCACAGAAGTCAGTTTATCTTTTGGCAGTCACATAAGTCAGATTGGTCTGTTGACGGTCTGGGACGTCAGGTTAGTTTTTTGACAGTCAGGGACGTCAGACGTTAGTCTTTTTGTGGTCAAAGACGTATGGTTAGTCTTTTGACAGTCCGGAACGTCAGGCTAGTCTTTTGACAATCAGGAACGTCAGGTTAGTCTTTTGACGGTCAGGGACGTAAGGCTAACCTTTTTGAGGTCACAGACATTGCAGGCTTTTATATATAGATTACAGACGTCAGCTTAGTCTATTGGTGGTCACAGACGTCAGGTTAGTCTTTTTGTGGTCAAAGACGTAAGGTTAGTCTTTTGGCAGTCACAGAAGTTAGGCTAGTCTTTTTACAATCACAGACATCAGGTTAGTCTTTTGACGGTCAGGGACTTAAGGCTAGTATTTTTGAGGTAACAGACATTGCATGCTTTTATATAAAAAAACACAGACCTCAGGTTAGTCTTTTGGTGACCACATACGTCAGGTTAGTCTTTTGGGTAGTCACTGACGTCAGATTAGTCTTTTGTTGGTCACAGATGTGCGGTTAGTCTTTTGGTGGTCACAGATGTAGTCTTGTAAGCTTAGTATTTTGGCAGTCACAGACGTCAGGTTATTCTTTAGAGGTCACAGACATTACATGATTTTTATATAAAGGTCACAAACGTCAGGTTAGTTACATGGAGGTATCCGAGGTCATACTTTGGTCTGGAGGTTAAAAAGTAAGCCGTCACAGACCATTTGAATTAATCGTTGTGTTATTCATAAATCTCATGTTTTTTTAATTTGTCGAATAAGACAATTTTGTAAAGATCATGTTGAAAATATTTGCTTGAATATGAACGATAAAAAAATTCTGAAAAAGGTTCCAGTATATTTGTCATATACGATCAAACATAATTTTTTAATGGTTTACAGCATAAAACATAATTATAATTAATATATACATGTTTAGCTAGATTTTGTTTTAACATACAGCAGAATCCCCCTTTCATGATATTTTAAGCCATTAGCAACTTAGACGATATATTGCAAAATTGATTAAAGATATATTGGCGGCATTCTATTTATAAATTTACCAATAATTCATTGAATAGATAAAAGGTATCGGCTGAACTTATTCTATATATATTAGTTAAACGTACGTTTTCATCAAAAATAAAAAAATTACTATGACCCACTTTCCTCTCCCTCTTTTTTTTTTAAAGCAAAATCCAGAAGTAAAATTATATAAAAACAATTTTTAAAATCATTAAATTGAGGGTTTTGTTTTCAAATTTTATTTTACAATTTCAAAAGAAAAAATCTCACCTTTTACATACATGGTTACCCACGAGACTTTAGAAGACCCGAAACTCTAAAAATATGTCGATGTAAGTTTGATTTTTAGCTTTTGCATTTAATTGAGTATTTTGATGGTTTACTAAATGATTCAATATAATCGTCTCTGAAGTCTCATCCAGAATACGAACAAATATTACCTTAAAGTATACTTTCAAAAATTTACATTTAATCGTTGACATGGGTCTGAATGTAGAGTTCACTGACATCAGCCTAGACATTTAAACCACTACAATCTGTTTCAAGTTTTCCTTTAAAATGTTAAAACCAAATATTTGAAACTGCCGGCATTCTTTTTCAAGTTAAAGTTTCTTTTTTTTGATAAAAATGTGAACCGCAACCACGATGTTTCTTTAAAGAATTATGGTTTCCGAAAGAAAAGAAGCATGAATAAAACAGCGAATACATGTTTCTTGTAAAAATTTATGATTTATTGTCTGAACACACAAAAAGAAAATTGTGTTCGTGAAGATTCAATCTTGTATGATGATATTATGTTGGATAGCATTATTTCTATAATTACACCCACCCTATATGAACTATGTATACTGTATGGAAACATTCCAGTTTTTGTTTACAAACAATTTTCAATTTAACTGATCGTAAATAACCCTAAACAGGCTGGGCCCCCCCCCCCCGGTAGTTTTTTGTTTTAGCACTCTCATTTTTGACATATCACCGTGAAACGCCCCCCAGGCTAAAGATAAATTCAGACCTCCCAGCCTTTATAGGGTTAAATTAGTTATATTGGAACAGTTTTGGATCTAGTATATGTTTTGTCATTAAATGTATTCTATATTTGCTATTTCTAAACTAATGTATATTTCAGTTTACAAATACCCGAAGAATAAAGATTATATACTCTTGAACTCTTCAACCATTGGTACAAGTGTATTTCCGGAGTACCGAATCAGATTGAGATTCCATATATCCTCCTGATTCCTATACTTGTTTTTTTGAGTTTCCCAATATACAGTATATACTGAACAAATTGATGTCGTGATTTTGTATATCATACCAAAGTTTAGAATATAAACTTCATCAGAAAAGTATAAACAGCTGTTTAACAGCTGTTTAACAGCTGTTTAACAGCTGTTTAACAGCTGTTAAACAGCTTTCCCTTTTCATATAAGCAGTTTAATTGTATTATAAAGAGCGACTGTCTACGTAATTTCAAGTGACGTTAAACAGCTTTCCCTTTTCATAAAAAGCAGTTTATTTTTATTATAAAGAGCGACCGTCTACGTAATTTCAAGTGAGTTTCAAGCCAGAGTCAGAACAGTATCCTTTCAATTAAAATTTTACTGTGATTTTTCTGACAAAAGTCATTTGCGGATTTATGCTGCAAGTTTAACGTTGTGAATCCAGCCAGTAGCTCTTTGAATAAAAGTAAAATTTTTTTTTTTGCAAATTTGGTATTTTTTATTTTCATATTTTTTACAAATTACCATTTTTAAGCGATTTTATAATGCAGACAATAATTTTTTACAATATTCATTTTTTCGGTCTACCATTTTACACTTTATTTAACTGTGTTGTATTATCTACGACCCCNCCCCCGATGAAAGAGTAGAATACTCTTCTGAAATAGTTGATAAAAAATTTGTATTTCTTTATTTTTGGTGTCAGCGTGAATTTGAGTTGCACGCTTCGGTGAAATATCGTTTGCACTAATGATTGATCGGACTAACGTACATTCGTACTAACGTTCATTCAGACTAACGTTCATTCGCACTATAGTGCAAATGAAACCTTAATTGTTAAATCAAACTAAAATCCGCGTGGCTAGATTTTTTCAGCTGGTGGAGATTGGAGAGCTAGCTATCTTTTTAAATTTTAGCGGAATTCGCCTAGCATTTCATTAATTAGCTCCAATGAACATATTTTAGTAATAATGAACTAAAAAAGTTCAATTGTACTAAAGCCAAAGTGTGGGTAAAAACAAAGTTAGTAAAAAAAGTTCAATCGAAATTAAATTTGATATTTCACCATTTCACATTTACCCTAATTAGTACAAATAAACATATTTTAGTGCAAACGAACAAAAAATGTTCATTTAAACTAAAATTTAAAATTTCACCATTTTTATATAAAACCTAATTAGTACAAATGAATTTAGTGCGTATGAACAATAAAATGTTCAATCTAATTAAATTTAAAATTTCACCATTTTGCCCATAAATTATAATTTATAGTGCAATTGAACTGATCTAGGGTGCTTCCCTAGGACAAGTGTTCTCATGTCAAACTGCTGATCCCTCTCAGGAAGTGGAAAGAAGTTATATAATATTAAGTTAACAGTACCTTTAAACAAGATGTTCTATTTATAAATCTACTTTTGACACAATTAATATATTCTTTATTTTTATTTTTAGGAAAGAACTAAAAACTACGGCGTCGGATTTAACAGATAATATGAAATCTGACAAGAAGGAAATCAAGGACAAAATTGACGGGGAATATGCAGGCAAAATTTAAAATATTTTATTTATTAAAGAAACATATAAAAGTGTTAATTTAAATCCATAACAGAAAAATAATTTGATTTTTTTTTCCGTAAATCCTTTTCTCTGATTGGTTCAGATTTTTCCCGGGAAATTCAAATTTAAAAATGAGAAAGTTTAATATTTAAGTAGCTATTCATTATTTTGCAGAACTTTTAACCTCAAACTTAAAATTCGCGCATTCTTTAGTTTTAGACTCTGGAAACTAATAAATAATATTTGTCTGAATCTGAAGAAGAAAGTTGAGCTGGAAACTAATGAATATTATTTGTCTAGATCTGAAGAAGAAAGTTGAGCTGGAAACTAATGAATAATATTTGTCTATATTTGAAGAAGAAGGTTGAACTGGAAACTAATGAATAACATTTGTCTAGATCTGAAGAAGAAAGTTGAGCTGGAAACTAATTAATAATATGTGTCTAGATCTAAAGAAGAAAGTTGAGCTAGAAACTAATGAGCTCAGGGATAAAATGCAATTTGATAAGAAGGTGGGGAATTCAAAAATGAAAGAAAAAAGTCAAGATTTCAGAATATTCATTAAAAACGTTAAAATTGAGATTAAAATGTCTTAAGAACCCTTATTTAAAAATGTGTACAAATCTCTCTTTATCAAAAGTCTTTTTCAAATGTATGTACATTCGTATGTATTGTATGTATTCCCATCTAAGTTTAGCATATTTGTTAAAGAAAGCAACATCATGGATTTTCCTTGGAATAAAAAAAGTGAAAAAGTAAAATTCAAAAAGAAGTTTAATAAAGTGATCCCTATAGAACTATGGAATAGGAACACTAGATGAAACCAATCGTCAAGTGTATTTGATACTGTTAAAAAAAGTATTTTACTAGTTTTAATTGAAAATCATTTTATTATGTGAAATGGTTCGTGCAAACTGCACATTTTCTGTGTCTGATGTTAATTAAACAGTGGACAAATTTAAACTGTATTTTTAGTTTGAAAGACGAAGTTGTTTTAAAATTTTATGATTTATTAACAGTCAAAAAAAAGGTTATTTCTCAGAAGAATTCAGTAGATTTTATTTAAGATTTTCCAAGTCAAGAATTAAAAACATGGAACAATTTATTCCTGTTTAAAGGATTAATGATTTGAAAACTTTCAGGCAATGATCGTTAAGTTTGAAGAGGTTGAGGATGAAAGACAAAAAGAAGCAAAATTGATCAGGTAATTAATCTAATAAATCTAATCAATCGATTAATCGATGGAATAAATTTATGTNGGGGGGGGGGGTATTTGGAAAGCCTGTTTAAAGGGAAGCAAATTGCACATGTTTTACAAAGAAATTTTGCACATACAACTTTAAAGAAGTTTGCAAATTTATACTTTTCCTTAATACTAAATTTGCATGTGAAAATTGGCTGGGTCAGATTTCGAACAATTAATATTTTCCCACATTTTATGTTAAATAACTGGATTTCGAAATAGATACTTGGATTTTTACTAAAAATGTATGAACTGCTATAGATTAATATCATAATAGGGAAATAGTAGGGGGGAGGGGGTTCCAGGATCCCCCCCCCCCGGGTATTTAGGGCAGAGGAAACGTCCGTAGGAATAGGAATAAGTAAATATTTGATTCGCTAGACCAATATTTAGTTTTAAATCTTAATATTTCGTTGAAGCTTTGATTTTCGAATCCTTTGCTTCTAGAGAATTTAGACAAATTGTTGAAAAGTTTTCCAAAGTTTCAGGTTTAGAGATTAGGTCCTTTATTAAACCTCACATAATAATATTATAAACTAGAGTTGGTAGGCCAATATCCAATAATTAAAGGGACTGTGAATAAATTTTAAGTAACCCATCATTTATAGAATGGCATCTCTATTCATTATGGTAGTTGGCACCATTAAAAGCTTTCCTTATAATAAATACATTATTCTTATATGCATTTATTTATTTATTTATTTATTATTTTATTTTATTTATTTTATTATTGGACGCCTTTTAAGCAATAGAAACAAAGAACTTTTCACATTATTGTTAAGAGATGGTTTAAGGGTACTATTGTCGGTCCCTCTTTTAATGAAGGTTCACTTGGAATATCAACGTCAGACTCATGGAATATCAAAGACAGTCTCTTGGAATATCAACAACAGTCTTTTGGAATATCAACGCATTCCCTTGAAATATCAACGACATTATCTTGGAATATCAACGACATTCTCTTGGAATATCAACGACAGTCTCTTGGAATATCAACGACAGTCTCTTGGAATATCAACGCATTCTCTTCGAATATCAACGACAGTATCTTGGAATATCAACGACAGTATCTTGGAATATCAACGACAATCTCTTGGAATATCAATGCATTCTCTTGGAATATCAACGACACTCTCTTGGAATATCAACACATTCTCTTGGAATATCAACGCATTCTCTTGGAATATCAACGCATTCTCTTGGAATATCAACGACAGTCTGTTGGAATATCAACGACAGCCTCTTGGAATATCAACGACAGTCTCTTGGAATATGAACGCATTCTCTCGGAATATCAACGACAGTCTCTTGGAATATTCACCTCTCCTTCATTTTTTTTTTTTTTACTTTTATCGTATCATACGCCGCATAAATCTAAAGTTTTCAGGGACCTGGACCAGACAGCCAGATATTGAGCTCTCCGGGTTTCCCGGCACTGTAATAATCATAGAATTCATCAATGTGTTTTTAACCCTTGTAAATGTATAATTATGTGCCTAATAAAATATTTATTTATTTATTTATTTAATATCAACGACAGTCTCTTGGAATATAAACGACAGTCTCTTGGAATATCAACGACAGTCTCTTGGAATATCAACGACAGTCTCTTGGAATATTAACGTCAGTCTCTTGTAATATCAATGACAGTCACTTGTAAAATCAACGACAGTCTCTTGGAATATCAACGACAGTCTCTTGGAATATCATCGACAGTCTCTTGAAACTAAAACAAACCAATTCAGCCAGATGTTGTAGTTTTTGTGTTCCTAAATCTTGGGATCAAGCATTGATCTTCATCTTATCAATAGAACTACGAGTAAATATAATTCCTCTCCGATATCTCGTGTTGGTTATATCCTGCTTGGATAACTTTAATAGGAGGGCAAAATTTATAAGAGCCCGCATTAGATATGGATATCAAGTCAAGTTTTCAAGATTAACAGTACTCGACACAAAAGTTTCCCCTTCTGATAGTTAAACTATAGTTTAACCAATGCAAAGTTTGTTGGCCAATACCCTAGCTCTTTAATCGAAACTTTAACAACCAAATTCATAGAGATTTATTCAAAACTAAATTATGAATATCAAGAAGGAAAAAATGCATGTTGATATATATTTACAGGGTAACCCACAAAGGATGAGACTTCAGAGACGATTGTACGGAATTTGCTTAGTCCGTTTTCTTGTATTCAGGGTTCCTTGTAGGTCAAAACGTGTTTATATCTGTCCTTTATAATTTAGTAAACCATTAAAATTACTCAATTGAATGCAGAAACCAACAATCAAGCTTTAAGTCAACATATTTTTAGAGTTTTGGGTCGTCTTTACAGTCTCAGCCTTTATGGGTAATCCTGTATGATGATAATAAAAAAGTGCCCGGCGTTGCCCATGAAAATAAAAAATATATCGAATTAAAAATATTTTTATGAAAAAAATTTGATTTTTGAGAGTTTTTTTTTAGCTTTTGTTACCTCCCGGGTACCCAATACCATGGATTCCCTTAAAAAATGGTAGCCCACTGGTTCCAGTCATTTTGCCGGCTATCGTTAATATATTCATTTATATATCTATATACAAAACATATTTACTACTTGAATCTTTAAAATCGAATTTTGAAAAACAAATATCTTGATTTTTCAACTGTTACCCGCAGGATACCCATGAGTTCTCTCAAAAAATGTCAGCCAATTCGATCCAGCCGTTTGGCCGGCTATAGCTAACATTTATATATGCAAATATACAAGGTGTATAGAATACAAGGTGGGGGCGATGGGATTTACTTTTACTTTGCTGTGACGTTTTTGGACTGCTGAAGAAACAGATTCTGCGTAACAACAATAATAATGATTGTAAACAATAACAAAAATGATAAACAAACATCTGGCATCTCTGGGATCTCTGGTGTTTGATGAAATTAAACAATTTAAGATGACTACACACAATCAGAGGCGCAACTGCAGTATCTATAAAGGGGGGGGGGCAGGATAACCTTGTATTTGATTGAAAATGTATTTGTAATGAGGTTGTGGAAGACGATGCCTGGCCGCGTTAAACTAGTTCCACAAGATTCAACAGAATGAGATAGAACGGATATGGGGCATTAGTACTGATATCATCTCTACAGTCTACACGTGCGATATCGATATTGACTCTAGTTCTGAACCCTCTAGTAATAAGTTATAAGAAATATATATACTGGAAGTTATCTATGCGTTTTATTAGAGTCTGACTCACGTCCTCTATAAGGTAACCTTTTCGTATGAAATTAAAATCCTTAAAGTTTTTCAGCAGTTATCTGAAATTTTTCTCTTTTTCACCAAAACCGGGGGGGACACCTCCTATTGTATTATTTTGAGTATTTCGATCGTACCCATTGTGTGGATACTTAAACAAAAATATTTAAAAAAAATCATGATGAAAGATATTACCCTCTGCCATCATATCAGTCATATCCATCACTACCTTTCAAGCTCAACTAGATTCACCATTTACTAACTCATGTTTGTTTACATTAGATCGACTGCCTTTGTTATTGTTGTTACGCAGAAACTAGTTCTTTAGCAGTCCAACAGCGTCACAGAAAGTGTACGAAATCAAATCGCCCCCACCTTGTAATCTATATCTTCTTGGGATTTGCCATTTTCTGTTGTGAGCAATGCCCCGTAAAATTACAAAACAGAGAGAGGGGGATTGAATTTTGTAGATCCAGAAAAATAATTAAATTAATATTTATTTAGGGTTAGGTTAGGTTAAGACACTGTGGCCACGGGTTAGGTTTAGTTAAGACACTTTCTGGGCCGAGCACTGCGGCTAGGACAGGCTAGGGGGCCGAGCGCTGCGGCCACATGTCTTACATTTAAGATCCCACCTGTTGCCAGTCTCTACGCAGGCATCCCACAGATATTATTTTTCTGGATCTACATAATTCAATCCCCTCTCTCTGTTTTGGAATTTTACGGGACATTGCGCGCAACAGAAAATGGCAAATGTTCTTCGCCTTGCAGATGTATATGTGAGCGAAGAGCTTTATTGTTAATAGATAAAGTGATCAAGGTTTAAACTAGAGAATAGTTTATATAATGTTTTCATTTAGTCAGGAATTATTAATAGATAAAGTGATCAAGGTTTAAACTAGAGAATAGTTTATATAATGTTTTCATTTAGTCAGGAATTGCAAGAATCTCAATAATTTATTTTCTATACAAAAGAAATAAGTAAACCAATTTTCTAGGCAACAGGAAAATAATCTATCAACATGCCGTTTCAGATATAATCTTAGATTTGTTGTGTAAAATTATATATACTAAACTCAAAAATCTGAACACATACCATAATCTATAAATATAAAGTTGTCATCGCTGTTCGTCTGTTTGTATGTCAGATCATAACACATGAACCACTTGCCTCAAGTTTAGATTGGGGAATTAGGGAGAACCACGGAAATGTTTTGAGCCTATAGGTCCACTTTTTTAGAGAAAAATAGCAAAATTCGTAATTCACGACCAAGCGCGGTTAAACGACAGGAGTAACTATGGGCAACGCTGGGTTCTCAAGCTAGTATAATATAATTTACGAAGTTGCACCTGATATAGCAGACCTTTGGTTTTTCTAGATATAAAATATGTAATAAAATAAATATAGTTTAAGTTTAAAGTACAGTAGTAGGTTATTAAGACAATACAATCTTTTATATAATAAATAATTCGTGACTATCATTTACAAAAATGGCGCTTTGCATCGTCTTTCCTTGAATAATTCTAAAAAAATCATCCTGATTTGACAATTTTCAAGATTCAAAATTTTTCTTCGGAAATATTTTTACCTTTCGAATAAACCCTTGGGGTCATAAGAGGTAACACAACAAAATTAGTGCCTGTTCGGTTCAGCCGTTTACAGCATAATACATTCTTGAGAAGTATTTAAAGTATTCTGAGAAATAAATTTTGTTTAACATGCAATATAAAAATGAAAATCCCTATTATCCTGCATGCGTTTATGAGAATATACGTCATTGCATTCTCTGGAATGATGTTTACGTGATTTTATTCAATTAGGAAAAACAGAATAAAATTCAAGGACAGACATTTTTCCTTTTTATTGATAATCCCGATATAAGGAGATCTATTGTTTAACAGCTATATATATATATTTGTTTATGTAAAAATAAACTCAATTATTTTTATTTTTTAATCAAAAAGTTGAACATCTAATATTTATCTCTTTTATTCACTTCTTCAGTATTAGTTAAAAACCGTGTCATTCCTGTAGTCTTGAGAATTCTTAATTTCCATTGCCAACTCCATTATCAGCTCCATCCGAAAGGTGTATTACCAGTTCCATTTTTTAATATATTTATATAACTCCATTTTAAAGTGATAAGGTTTATTTAAGGTTCTATTATCAGCTCCTTTCTTAAGTTATGTTATCAGCTCTATTCTAGAGTTCTATTATATGCTCCATCTAATAAATATATTATAGAATCTGTTCTATAATCAGCTTCATTCTAGAGTTCTATTATCACCTCTTCCAAAGTTCTATTATCAGTTCCATTTAAAAGTTCTATTATCCGCTCCATTCAAAAGTTCTATTATCAGCCTCATCCTAAATATCTATATCAGCTCCTTCCTAAGGTTCTATAATCAGCTTCATTCTAAAGTGCAATTATCACCTATTCTAAAGTTCTATTATTAGCTCCTTTCTAAAGTTCTATTATCAGCTCTTTTCAAAAGTTCTATTATCCGCTCCATTCGAAAGTTTAATTATCAGCTTCATCTTAAATATATATATCAGCTCCATCCCAAGATTCTTTTATCAGCTTCATTCTAAAGTTCTCTTATCAGCTTCATTCTGAAGTTCTATTATCACCTCTTCTAAATTTCTATTATCAGCTCCATTCTAAAGTTCTATTATCAGCTCCAAACTTAAGTTTTTCATCAGCTCCAGTCTAAAGTTTAATTATCAACTCTCTTCTATGGTTCTATTATCAACTCCAAACTAAAGGTCTTTTAACAGCTCTATTCTAAAGTTCTATTATCAGCTTCATTCTAAGGTTCTATTATCCGCTCCATTCTTAAGATCTTCCTCAGCTCAATCCTAAAGTTCTACTATCAAATCCATTATAAAGTTCTATTATCAGCTCCATCCTAAAGTTCTACTATCAAATCCATTTTAAAGTTCAGCCTTTGCTCACATACGAACACAAAGAAAGATAAATGATAATAGAAATGAGATATTAACTCTTTTCAGCTATGATGTTTTTTCTGAAAGCTAAATTTTTCTTTTTTGTATGGATTGTACAGATTTTTTTCTGAAATGTTTGGATTGTACGGATTTTTTGAAAAAAATGGACGGATTGTACGGATCTTTAAGAATGGAATGTACGGATTTTTTTCTTCATAAATGTACAAATTGTACCGATTTTTCTCAAAAAGTTTTGGCCACCCTGGAAATATAGTGATTACCTGAAACCACACTTGTTAGTAAACAAAGATATCGACTATCCAGGTTTCAATTTTATTTCAACTTGACTTAGACTAAACTGATTAAGCTTGTTGTGAAGTTTGTGCATTTTTATGGGGTCTCTCTTATTTTCATATACTAAATAAAGGAGTTGGAACAGCGTCACATTTAGCATCAATGAGGTCATGTATAATTATTTCAAATCTTTCTGCCCCCTGTTAAACTTGATTATCAATGTGGGGGGTTTTCATGGTGTTTCATCTTCATTGAGTTTAAGGGTTAATAAAATTATACTATCAGCATATCTATACAAAATAAGCAAAAAGTTTGTTTTCTGAGCATCTTCAAGTCCTAGATTAGATTTGTATCCTGTCTTGAACAATAAACATATATCTTGAGTCTATCCTTAGATAAATCATATTTAGGGCTCAGCTACAGAGAGAACGAGAGGAAACAAGAGATATGGTTAACAGCGAATCCAAGCTTATTCAGGTATTTTTTTATTTTCTACACCCAATTTATAAAAACTGGTTGGAAAAAGAATCTTTTTAAAAAAATTACTTTGTCGAAACATCCTTAAGTTTCATTCTGAAAAATCAAATTAAAATGTTGTTAGAAAAAACTATTTGTTGGTAAGATTGATTTGCATCGTTTAATATAAGCGTAGTATTTACATTTAATTATTTTTTATTTTTAATAGATATAATTGATAATATAATAAATACGTCCGTATCATGTGACCATAAATTCCACCAATGGCAGCGCAGTATCATTATCATGTGATACGGATAAATAATATTATCAATTATGAAAAATTATTAAATTCAAATATTAAAAGAAGCAACCTAAGGTTCTTAGGCTCCTCTGGGATATCATGGTTTTCAGATTGGTTGTGTATTTACTGCATGTGATCCGTTTAACATTAGATAGAACTCTTATGGGTCTTGATCAACTCCTAAAATGCTTAGGTTTTCATTTTTCCTTTACAGGAAATGCAAGAGAATTAATTGATTAATTGATCAGGATCAATTGGATGGAAATACAAGAGAACTAATCGATTAATTGATCAGGATTAATTTGATGGAAATACAAGAGAATTAATTGATTAATTGATCAGGACCAATTAGGTGGAAATACAAGATAATTAATTGATTAATAGATCAGGACCAATTAGATGGAAATACAAGAGAATTAATTGATTAATTGATCAGGACCAATTAGATGGAAATACAAGAGAATTAATGGACATAATCAAGAGAGAAAAAGGAGATAGGTATAAAAAAAAATTTATAATTTTATTGTTTTTGAATATGCACTGAGAATAAGAATTAAATCTAACCCTAATCTAAATCTAACCCTGATCTAAATCTAACCCTAATCTAAATCTAACCCTGATCTAAATCTAACCCTAATCTAAATCTAACCCTGATCTAAATCTAACCCTAATCTAAATCTAATCCGTCAATTCAAATTACATTATTATATAGTTTTTCATATTATTCTCAAAAAAAAAGTTTTTAGTTCATTAAAATTGCACTTAACCTTAAAAAGATTGAAGTCTAATGCTGAATCTTTGTATGCACAGAAATGGGTCCCTGATAAAAATTTAAATCGCCCTTCCCGTTGGGCTATTTTGTATACATATATGTGGGGTACTGGGAAGTATATAACAGTCAAATATTCACTTTTTCTCAAGATTATTCTTGTCTGCATGTCTGTGTGGTCGGGTGTATGTCTATTGTCTGTTTTTGTATGTTATCAGGGATCGTAAGTTTGAGAGCATACAGAGACGAATAGTGTACATGGGCATGTTAGTTTGAGAGCTTAAAGAGATGAATATTGTGCATGTGCATGTTAGTTTGAGAGCATAAAGAGACGAATAGTGTACATGGGCGTGTTAGTTTGAGAGCTTAAAGAGATGAATATTGTACATGTACATGTTAGTTTGAGAGCATAAAGAGACAAATAGTGTTAAGTGCATTTTAGTTTGAGAGCATAAAGAGACGAATAGTGTATATGTGCATTTTAGTTTGAGATCATAAAGAGACGAATGATGTTTGTTTGCATGTTAGTTTGAGACCATAAAGAGACGAATAGTGTACATATCCATGTTAATTTGTGAGCATAAAGAGACGAATAGAGTACATGGGCATGTTAGTTTGAGAGCTTAAAGAGATGAATATTGTACATGTTAGTTTGAGAGCATAAAGAGACAAATAGTGTTAAGTGCATTTTAGTTTGAGAGCATAAAGAGACGAATAGTGTATATGTGCACTTTAGTTTGAGAGCATAAAGAGACGAATATGTGCATTTTAGTTTGAGAGCATAAAGAGACGAATGATGTTTGTTTGCATGTTTGAGAGCATAAAGAGACGAATAGTGCATATGTGCATGTTAGTTTGAGAGCATAAAGAGACGAATAATGTATATTTATATATTATCAGGATCGTGAGTTTGACAGCGTAAAGAGACGAAAAGTGCATATGTGCATGTTAGTTTGAGAGCATAAAGAGACGAATAATGTATATTTGTATATTATCAGGGATCGTGAGTTTGACAGCGTAAAGAGACGAATAGAAGACGAGAAAAAGGAGCTTCAACTTAGTATAGACAGGTAGAAAACTGTAAGATGGATCGTCTGATAAAGTGATAGCAGAAAAGGTAAAGTGGTTTAAGAACAATTGAGAACGTAAATTTAACGTAAATTTGATAAACTAGCCGGTACAAAGAACTTGCTTATTTGACAGACAGATTTACAGAATAAGCAGGTTTAATAGACGTGTCAGACTGAATGGGAACATTTAATTAAGAGCGTAGACAGAATAGGCAGATTTTTTATCAGGATTTAATAGAAAGAGCTGACATAATAGAAACATTTTACAGACAGGATGAACAAAAAAGGTAGAATTAACGGACAAGATATACAGTACCTGAGTACAGGCAGACAAAATAGACAGTAAAGACTGATTAAAATAACCTTATAGACTGAACAGGTAAATTTGATAGACAGGATAGACAGGAAAAACGGGAGATAAAAAATACAAACAACAGAATAAGCTAATCAAATTAGTTGATAATAGAATAAACAGATTAAATATAAATGGATTAAATAAACCGGTTTCATAAACTAGGGATCGTGATAATCTCACAAAGAAACTAAATGAAGAACATGATCAAAGAAGAATTGAACAAATGGAGGTAATTACTTGATTAACTATTATATTATAATTATAATTATATATTATAACTTTTATAATCAGGTTCAACAGCGATTAGAAACAACTGAGAAATCAGGGAAAAATGAGATGAACGAATTATTTGCCAGGTAATTTAGGGCCTAGATAATATCCTGTATATCTAGGGTTAAGAGGTATGAAGAGGAGGCTAGGATAGATAATATCCTGTATATCTAGGGTTAAGAGGTATGAAGAGGAGGCTAGGATAGATAATATCCTGTATATCTAGGGTTNACCAACCAATTTATAACCCGCCTAGATTTCAATATTTCAAAATGTTGACTTGAAAAGTCACTATAATAAAATAAAGAGATCTAAAATGGATATTTCTAACATTTATTTAAAACGAAAGTGTTTTGAAATATTTGCATTTAAGGCGGAGTTAAAATTGGTTGATTTAGAAATTAACAAAGGAATTAATGATGAATGTTGTGGGTACTTCATGGGAGTGATGTAGATCTTCATGTTGGTGAAGCAGATCAACAGGATCTTGAACAACAGGACTTATCCAACCTAGTAGGCAGAGATCGCGGCTTGTCATGCTGGCTATGAGCGATTATGTTGTCTCTGGAATGCATGATGAACTGGGAACCCTTCGGGTAAGAGCGTCTGCTGCTATCTGAGTATCTGCGTCATCATCATAAAGGAGTCAAGAGGCTCCCTGTGTCGGAGCTGTTACTAGTTCAACTGTCCTAACATGACTGAATACCGGCCGGGAGCTGGGATGAGCGGAGATTCGACATGTGGGCACTACATGAGGAGGAAATGGATCTTGAGTACACATACATCTAGAGAAAAGGCTACGGCAATTTGAGTCGGAAAAATCGTCTTCCTTATATTTCGAATTAATTTTAACAATATTATGTATGGTTTAGATTAAATGAAAGTTTAAGTATGCATTATTCAATCTGACCTCGCATTATGCATATATTTTGTATGATTCAGATTAAATGAAAGTGCTGATGTCCAATCTAAACTCTCTATGCTCGGGAAATCTGTGTCAAGACATTTAGACTCATTAAAGGTTAGTTTCTTCTATGTTCTTGTTAAGCCAGGTAATCAACAGGCTCAAAATATCAAGATACTCCTAGAGTTATCGCACCTCGTCATGCTTTGCTTAAGTTAATCGCAGAACTTTTTACAAGCCTCATAAACTCTCGACTCAAATCTACTTTGTTTGTGGGATACACGGCTCAATCTAAATAGATTGACCGGAATTATTTTATTTAATACAAAGAAATATATAGACTAAAATGCATAGCAAACAGAATTTTTGAGCATGAACACATTTAATAAAGAAATATCAAGGATTCTTTATTTTACTGTAACATTTAATCAAATATAGAAGACATACAAATATTTCTTAAATACAGGACTAAAAAATATTTAGATATTTGAAAGCTAAAAATGCGATATTCTTCAATAAGATCAAATCTCAGTTTAAACCATATATTCATTCACAAACTACAAAGTGCGATATTCTTGAATAAGCTCAGATAAACAATAAAACCATACATAAATCGTAAATAGTACCTATAAATGTATAAATAGATAGACAGATTGATATATAGTGTATAGAGAGGAACCGTCCCTTTCCGGTCAAATTATGAACGCAAAATCGGCTTTTTCTCCGGCCACCAGTGTCTTTGAAAAGTAAGACTATTACCAATCAACAGCGAATAGGCTGTTTAGTTTACCCTGAAATTACGCAAAAAAGTGAACGGTCCCTTTAATGTGCCTTAGGCAAAGTCAGAACTCGGTTTAATAGCAACAAATATTAATGTTTGACTGACTAGAAAATATACACATAGCATGGTTCTAATACTAAGTTTACAAATCAAAACCGGTTTCGTTTCTGAGGTACAGACTCATACTCCTCTCTGTTCACAGGGGCGTCACAACTTTACTCAAGGGTACTCAGGGGAAAGGGAATATACGGAACATGACGAAAACGTCTCGTAACAGTTCTCAATTAACTAATTAAATAATTAATGACCATACAATATGTTTCTCTCAGCACGAAAGCCGATGAAAATTTTAATAATATTTTGTGCTTTCGTTTTCTTTAAAAATTCATAGTTTTAAACGACCCCCCCCCCCCTCGCAGTATACTACCATGTGCAATAAAGTTCACCACACAAACCAATGACCCCCTCAGAGACAAACAAACATGTTGTTTTGTTCTGAAAGAAAATAATGAGAATGGTGACATATAGAAATAACAATGCAATCAATAATAATTATGTATTTGTGTAGCACAGTCTACATAGAGAAGTACAGAATATGCTTGAATTAATGCAGAAATCCTGCTCTGTGGCCTTCAATGCACATAGGTACTGATTAATAAAAAAAACTCAACTCCAATAGAATATATAGGAATTGATAAAAGTATTTATTTCATATTAAACAAACTTTTATTTAGGGATGATGCACATGCCGAGGGGGGAGAGTGTTATATTACTTTTAGCAGCTGTACCGTTAACATAGGTAACAGATGGACAGTTGAAATATTATTCATTTATCTAGTTTTGAATTTATCCGCTTGGATGACTATCTAATCTATTTACTAGAATAACTCTTCAGTTTTTAATTTATCCACTAGGATAACTATTTAGTTTTAAATTTATCCGCTGGGATAACTATTTAGTTTTTAATTTATCCACTAGGATAACTCTTCAGTTTTTAATTTATCCACTAGGATAACTATTTAGTTTTAAATTTATCCGCTGGGATAACTATTTAGTTTTTATCCGCTGGGATAACTATTTAGTTTTTAATTTATCCACTAGGATAACTCTTCAGTTTTTAATTTATCCACTAGGATAACTATTTAGTTTTAAATTTATCCGCTGGGATAACTATTTAGTTTTGAATTTATGCGCCAGGATAACTATTTAGTTTTAAATTTATTTGCCAGGATAACTATTTAGTATTAAATCTATCAGCTAGGATATCTATTTAGTATTGAATCTATCAGCTAGGATAACTATTTAGTATTGAATTAATCTGCCAGGATAACTATTTAGTATTGAATCTATCAGCTAGGATATCTATTTAGTATTGAATCTATCTGCCAGGATATCTATTTAGTATTGAATCTATCTGCCAGGATATCTATTTAGTGTTGAATCTATCTGCTAGGATATCTATTTAGTTTTGAATCTATCTGCTAAGATATCTATTTAGTTTTGAATTTATCTGCTAGGATATCTATTTAGTGTTGAATCTAACTAGGATAAGTTATGACTCGATCCACTAGAATAACTATTTAGTTTTAAATATATCAGAAAGGAAAATTATTAAACTTGAAGTCTAACAGCTAGGATAACTATTGAATTTTAGATTTACGCGCTGGAAGAACTATTTCGTTTTAAAATATAACTCTTTGAATAACTAGTTATTTATGAATCTATCCATTAAGATAACTTTTTTGGGTTGGAATCTATTCGCTAAGATAGTTATTTAGTTTAGAATCTATCCCCTGTGATAACTATCTAGGAATTTATCTGCTAGGATAACTTTTTAGTTTGGAAGTTTTTCCCTTGGATAACTATCTAATTTGGGATATTTCCGCTTTGATAACTATCTAGTTGTGAATCTCTCCACTTGGATAACTATTTAGTTTGGAATCATTCCCCTTTGATAATTATCTAGATTGGGATCTTTCTGGTTGGATAACTATTTAGTTTGTAATCTTTCCGCTTGGATAACTATCTGGATTGGGATCTTTCCGCTTGGATAACTATTTAGTTTGGAATCTTTCCGCTTGGATAACTATTAAGTTTGTAATTTTTCCGCTTGGATAACTATTAAGTTTGGAATTTTTCCGCTTGGATATCTTCAATCGCTTAAGAATAAGACTGTACAAAATCTTAAATATTGCAGGGAACGGGTTTATCCCTAAGTCTGGAATATTCCAATGCCCTGAGCCTGGCTTGTATTTGTTTACTCTCACTGTCTGCACATATGACGGCAAGAAATGCCTTCTTATCATCAGGAAGAACGAGAAGGTAAAAATATTAATTGACATCAAATCAGTTCTATATTTGAACGATATCCAATTTGGGTTCGGGTTCTATACATGTGACTAATTTGAATTAATAGGGATGGTTATTTGCCACAAAGTGACATTTACATGTTACATTTATGATTAACATTTACATTTGCAGCATCTGCATTCTGCTTAGGAAATATTGAGAAATATTTAGGATGTGTGTGCTCTTATTGACCAGGATGGAAACGAAAATAGAGGAAAAACTATGATAAATCAAACTTGTTTTATGCAACTTGAAATAGGAGACAGAGTACAGGTGAATAATCAGACTAGTTTTATTAAATTAGAAATAGTAAACAAATTACATGTAAGAAATCAAACTAGTTTATGCAACTAGAAATAGGAGACAGAGTTCAGGTGAGAAATTTGACTAGGTTATGCGACTAGAAATAGTAGAGAGAATAAGACTACAAATCAGACTAGTTTATGCAACTAGATATATATAGGAGACAGAGTTCAGGTGAAAAATCAGACTAGTTTCATGCAAGATAGGTTATATCAATAAGAAAACATATTTGAAGGAAAACCAAAGCCTTTTTATAAAAACAGACAAAAGACAATATTTTATCCAATTAGTTTCTGAACTTTCTCTTTAAAAGTCAACAAACTAAATTCAAAACTGTTAAACCAAGTCAAAAACATTCCCCGATCCCGTGGTTCTACCAAGTTCTCCAGTCAAAATTAAAGGCAAATCGGTCAAGGGGTTCAGGACTCATGATCGCACACACAAACAGACAAAGCGATTAATACTTTACAAATATAGACTAGTTTGAGAACCCAGTGTTAGAAGTTTTAAACCAAACTAAGAATAGTCCCTCTGTGCTGAAATACTTCTCATTGAAAATTTGAGTCACATCTTGCAAGGGTTAAATGACTTATGATCGAGCATAAAAACAAACAAACATTGATCAATACTTTAATTATATAGATAATAGCATTTTTATTTTATTACCTTAACTTACATAACTAGATAAAGAATAAAACATAAATACACCGCGTGTTATTACTTAGATATAATTAATGTAATCTTCATTAAACAATCTTGGTTTTTACAGTTGTTCTAAACAATAGGAAAAGTATTTATTTTTTATTTTTTGTGGCAAAACTTATCTTATGCTTTGAATAAGATCCTCAATTTAAAGAATTACATTACGAATTTAAAGCTGTCCCTTTTCACCTTTTAGGTTTTATTTTTACAAGATGATATTTGTTTTTAATTTGCAGATTCATGCATTAGAGGAAGGGAGGGTTTGTATAGCTTTTTAAGAAAGAAAATCAACAATATTTCCCTCAGATAAAGGTTTCAATGGTTATATTTGATTGTAAATCATGAAATGTACGTATTTAATGAATCAAAATGTTTGATTTGTGTTTAGGTTTATGCTGTTACAGGGACAGGTTTATCTGATACTAAGAGTTCACACTATACTCAGTTCTCAGGTATACAGTGATAACCAGGAATAATAAATCGTATTTTAGACTCAAAGTTTGAATGAAAAAAGTCTTAGGAACATGAGGCACAGTAAATGTGCAGTGTAAACAGACAAATTTTGCTTAATAAGCGATTTAATAATTTACTACTTCTTACTAATGCACTTTAAAATATTGTTTTCATGTCGTCTTCCTATTCTACATATGACTCAAAAAAACCGGTTTTTGAGGGGTTTCCGCGTATTTTTGATCCGTTTCCGTGTTGAGTCGTTTCCGTGTTGAGGCGTTTCCATGTCACCCATGAAACATAGCACACCGGGTCAAGGAAGGGGGGGGTTAAAAGTCTGAAAGTGTACATGAGATTACCATTTCATTTCCATGGGACTAAATTAATAAATAATACTGTTTTAATTATGACTTAAACAACTATTAAATGACTATGAGTAAATTTTGATGTTGTGTTATATTTAATCAACAGAGTGTACTGATCAACCGTTAGTTAGCCTGCGATAGGTCACCCTGAGAGACATGACTCAGGGGATGAGTTTAGAGAGCACACAAAAACTCCGTCACACTTTCAATGAGTGACGCACAAATAGATTATGATTTGGTTTGGAAATCAATTCTTACTAGGGCTAGATTTTAGAAACTTATGAAAACAATTTATTTTATATGGGACTAGGGGGGGGGGTGCAAATTCGTCATTGCACCCCTCTTTCAGAAGAAAGGGGGGTGCCCCCTTGCATCCCCCCCCCCCCCTAGCTAAGGGCCTGGTTGTACCGTCCCGTTGTACCGTCCCGTTGTACATTTGAAAAATCCTAGAAAAGCATAGACGATAAACATATAATATTGAATTATTTTGTAGTGCAGCTTAATCAAATAATTACTAAATTGTAAATGTTAAAATTGATTTTTGAAAATTGTAAAATTAACTAATAAATAACTATTAAAATGTTTAAGAAGTTTCGTATTTCAAAATTATCCAAAAATTAGAATTTTCAGCATTATCTTTTCTTAAAAAAACAACCATTTTGTTTTATGAACACAATAATATTTGCAGGAGTTCTTCTTCGACCTTCTCCTGAAACCTTCAGAACTGCAATCCGACAAGCTGTGCAGGTAAAACCTGTTTAAAGAAACCATCTCCAAATACTAGTTTAAAGAACCAATCTCCAAATATTAGTTTATAGGAACCATTTCCAAATATTAGCTTAAAGGAACCATCTCCAAATATTAGCTTAAAAAACCCATCTCCAAATATTATTTTAAAGGAACCATCTCCAAATATTGGTTTAAAGAAACCATCTCCAAATATTTGTTTAAAGAAACCATCTACAAATATTGGTTTAAAGAAGCCATCTACAAATATTTGTTTAAAGAAACCATCTACAAATATTGGTTTAAAGAAGCCATCTACAAATATTTGTTTAAAGGAACCATCTACAATTGTTACTTTAAAGTAACCATCTCCAAATATTAGTTTAAAGAAACCATCTCCAAATATTAGTTTAAAGAGACTATCTGCAAATATCTGTTTAAAGGGACAATCTCCAAATGTTTGTTTAAAGGTACATTAACAAAATATAGACTTGAAAACAATCTACAAATAAATTTGTGACGAGACCATCTGCAAATATCAGTTTAAAGGAACATCTAAAAACCGGTTTAACAAGTCTATCTCCAAATCTATCTTCGGACGAAAAATCTCCCAATTAGATTAGATCCAGAGTATAGATCAAGAGTGTTAGCAGATGGGTTGGAGCAAGGTTATTTTTGAAGGTTAAATAAACTCTTATTGGGTGAAGATGAAATGATAACGTTGCTGGTGAAAGGGGAAAGGATCCTTGAAAGCTCTTAAATCCTTTCCCCCGTTCTCTAAAAACGTTGTTTCTTCGTCCACCGCCAATAATCAGTTTCGTCATATAAGGATTTTGAGTGTCCATTACTATGAAGACGACATTTCGCGTAAATTCTAGCGCGTCCATGGTATCTAACCTTAATGAACAACCTTTTTTTGGATTGAATTTGGATATCCCCAAAAACGCAAAATGAAAAATTTAAAAGATATTTTAAATTTAATTTATAAATATATTTTTAGGCTGAAGAGGAGGAGAATAGTTTAGCAGAAGGATCTCTGCGTGGATTCACCCCTAATCCATCTAATATAGAACTAAGGTGGGAGAATATACAATTCATTAATGACACTTAAACATTAATCTAATCTTAATACAGTCTTCAATCTAATAAATAGAACTAAGATGGGAGAATATATAATTCATTAATGACACTTAAACATTAATCTAATGTTAATACAGTCCTTCAACCTAATAAGTAGAACTAAGATGGGAGAATATACAATTAATAAATTACACTTAAACATTAATCTAATATTAATACAGTCTTCAACCTAATAAATAGAACTAAGGTGGGAGAATATATAATAAATAAATAACACTTAAACATTAATCTAATATTAACACAGTCCCTAAACCTAATAAGTAGAACTAAGGTGGGAGAATATACAATTCATTAATTACACTTAAACATTAATCTAATATCAATACAGTCCTTCAACCTAATAAGTAGAACTAAGATGGGAGAATATATAATTAATAAATTACACTTAAACATTAATCTGATATTAATACAGTCTTCAACCTAATAAATAGAACTAAGGTGGTAGAATATATAATTCATTAATGACACTTAAACATTAATCTAATATCTATAGTCATTCAACCTAATAAATAGAACTAAGGTGGGAGAAATAATTAATTAATTACACTTAAACATTAATCTAATCTTAGTACAGTCTTCAACCTAATAAATAGAACTAAGATGGGAGAATATATAATTAATAAATTACACTTAAACATTAATCTAATATTAATACAGTCCCTGAACCTGATAAAAACATGTTAGAAATTAATTTTAAAACTTAACACAAACTTTGATGAAAAGTCATGCATCTTCCTATTCTTATTATTTCTATTATATGATGTTTTTACTGGAGGGATATAATTTTTGAAAAATAATTTTCACCCCCTCTCTTCTTTTCAGGAATTTTATAAATGAAAATGAATTTATCTAGAGCTGCGAGTAGGCGGGCTGCTAGCAGTTCAAGAACTGAAAAGGACCAAACTAAAGAAAATGGAGTTCAGCAACAGGGGTGTACTTTCTTTAATTATTCTCAACTTAAAAATTGTGTAAACAAAATTAGAATTTTAATAATGTTGATAGTGAGAAGAATGGAAACTAATAAGAAATGACAATAATAATATTTATCAAGATTTTTTTTTAATCAAAAAGCATTCATAATACAAAAGTTGTGTCGGCACATACTGGCATAGAGAATAGAATATATAGAGAGGAATTAAAAGAATCTCTCGGTATGAATTTTTTCAGTCCCTTTCAGCCTGAAAGGGAGTTCAAAGTGTACAAATCATGTAAATGTTCACAAATTATATGCAGTAGAGTACATTAATACAGTATGTTCCCTAGACTATCCATTTCAATTTCGAATTTTTTAAACTGTTAATTAAACTTTATAATGAATTAGGTGAATAAAAACATCATTTGATTTATAGTTATAACGGAAAATCATCGTTTGTAAAGTGGAAGGCATAGAGTCTATGTGAAATGATCATTGGTCAATTATGAAACCAGCCTATTTCATAATTTGGTTTTCTTTTAATAATAATTTGAGATTTTCTATAAAATAATATTCCAGGGCCCAACAGGTTATATAGCATAAATATGTGAAGTACACCTGCAGTATGGAAACAGTACAACAAAATGGCCGTTTTACACTTTTTTCTAGTAAATTCCTCTCTATATATTCTATTCTCTATGCATACTGGTTATTCATCAAAGATGAAAGTCTGATCAATTACAGAATTAAGTCCTTAAAGATAACTAAGATAAAACAGGATGTTTTGTTAAAAATTAAGAAAAGTAAGCCTTTAGGGTCCCAGTGTACCTAGTGTACCCAGTGTACCCAGTGTACCCGGTGTACCCGGTACATCTGTCCCACTACCAACCGTAGTACCTAAAGAGAGAACTAAAAAGAAGGAAGAACTGAAGGAAGAGAAAGAAAAACCTCAACAGTCGTATTTAGGTAATTTTAGTTTTACCCCGTAGATAAAAGATAATATTTAATACATACATTATAGGACTTAACATCATGTGCAATACATGTAAATAAATTATTTGACTTTAGTAACTGTTTATGTATAATAATACTTGATATATACTCTAACTTCAGCACTAAACAATGGCTAAATACATATTTATAGTGCGTTGAAAGAAGGGCCTACAATGAAATTTGCATCTAGCATAATATAAAAGTAAGGCAAAATAAAAATAGAGATTTATCAATTAGTAAACATCAAAATCCTGTAATTCAAAGGAGGGTGTCGACAAGTTTTATGCTTTTTTCGACTTAGCTTAATCGCTTAATTGTTAGATAAAAATAAACCAATCTGTATATGAATAATCTGAAGAAGAAAAAAACGAATTGCAAAGAAACTTGTCTCTCATCCTGGAAAGGCAAAAATCCAGTTCATTTTCTTGTTAGTCTTACTTTCAAGTCTTAACCATCAGAAAACCAATCAATATTACGATTTAAAAGTTAACTTATAGCACTTTATTTAAAATCCCGTGGACAAACCCTTTAATTTATTCACCTGTAGAACCCTTTCTGCTTCTTGCTTGTATGTGCTTATCCTAATTTGCTAACTGTAAACACCTGCTTATCCCTTCTTTAAATACGACTTGGAATTGTTTATTAAATCCTTAATAAACAACTAATAAATAAATCTAATGTTTAAAAAATCAGTTTCAGCTATTAAACAAGATTGTTTCAGCGCTGACTGGGCTAGGAGGAGGGGACAAGAAACCAACGGAAAATATGGAAACCAACAAACAATCTCAAAATGGCGACGCCCATCAAGATACACTAAAACAAAATGGCGACAGTTCAAGTAAACCGAAAGAAATTAAACAGCCAACTGGCGCTAAAAAACAAGAAGGTTCTACTTTCTATTCATTCCTTAAAAGATAGGTTTAACAATTTAACTTAAACAAATTGAACTTTTAAAAAAATTGTATTTTATAAATACACGGGACAAAAGCGGGACAGGAAATACCCAGTCAGCACTAATGTATCCTCGGACAATACAATTTACAAACATTTAGCAAATTTATATATAATCCATATCTTCCATAAGTATGTAAACATTCATTCAAGGTGTTTAGTTCTTTAAGCATGATTAGACACATGTTAGAAAACTCCAATGTAAAAAATAAATCACGTGTATCTAAATTGAAAACAATTTATTTGTAAAAATCATATTTATACGTTTTGATAAATAAATCTCATTTTGTATTTGTAAATTGATAAAGTTTAAGTCTTAAGATAAAATATTAAGGCTGTGACAAGCCACGTTCAAGCCAATTGCGTCCATGACATATTATCTGATATACATTAGCTGGTCAGAAAATTAAACCGTCATGAATATAGTGTAAAAAATAAAGGGCTGAGACGTAGCTAGAAGTTTCTTTTAAAATAGATTCGCGAAACGTATTGGACATCCCTCGGACAAGGTAAACCCCTCCTTTTAACACTAGAATAAAATCATTATGGAACATTTTAAATTCTTATATCTTAAATATGGTTCTACCTTCTTAACTTTTGTTATTGTTTCTATTGCATTTATCTTTTAGAAGGATGTGTAAAGGATGAGAAGAATGAAAAGGAAAATAGATCGAATGAGTAGGATTGAAAGGATTAAAAGAATGTAAAGAATGAAAAGGATTAAAAGAATGGGAAGAATGAAAAGGATTAAAAGGATTAAAAGAATGGGAAGGATGAAAAGGATTAATAGATCGAATTAGTAGGATTAAAAGGATTAAAAGAATGGGAAGAATGAAAAGGATTAATAGATCGAATTAGTAGGATTAAAAGAACCAAAAAATTGGGAAGAATGAAAAGGATTAATAGATCGAATGAGTAGGATTAAAAGGATCAAAAGAATTGGAAGATGGAAAGTATTAATAGATCGAATGAGTAGGATTAAAAGGATCAAAAGAATGAGAAAGGTGAGAAGTTTGAGTACAGCCTGAGAAGGATGGGTACAGGTCACAGGATGAAAACTATGACAATTATGAGTACAGGATCCGATGAGACGGATGAAAATGATAAATACAGGAGATGGATGAGAAAGATGATCAAAGGATGAGAAGGATGAGTAGGATTTTTTCATTTATATATCTTAAAGTGTCGAACCCCTTGGATATTTTTAAACTGTGAATTCTGATCAAATAATCTAAGTTAAAAATATCAAAGGTTTAAACCATCAAGATGAAAAGAATATGGATTGCAAATTTGAGGTTGTGGCAATGCCTAAATTTTTATGCGCATTAATTCAATGTAAAAATTCTTTAAATGTGAACAAATACCTCTAAATAAAGTGGTTCTGAATATAAACAGGAAGAGATAATTTAGATCAAAGTACGAGAAAAAATTGGTTATTCTCGAGAAAAAAAATGAACTTTGTTAGTTTTTGTTAATCAAATCCCTACCTTGAAACTTGGCCAGCTTGCAGAACACACAATTGAAAGATTACGTAGTTTAATTGAGTCAGATGATCAGCCAAATTTAGATAGACTTTCTCAAACATTGTTTCTCCTTCATAGCGATAATTTGACAATTTGTCTGATTTACTTTCATAGTTTGGACGATTTTTTTCCTGCAAGTTTAGGTTATGATACAATCTTCAATTGTATCTACAGTCATATTTTCTGTTATTATGTTTATAGAAAAACTTTTTAATGTCAGCTTTATTTCAACATGCAATATTGTTCTGTCGACTTTTGTAACAAATCCAGCGCACTGCATACAGAGATTTATTGACTTGTATTTATATTAGAATACTCCACATATGTTTATGAATTTAGCTTTAGAACCCAAAGTTGCCTAGGTTTATCATAGTTATTTCCGCCGTTTACCCGCACTTGGTCGTAAATTACAATTTTAACTATGTTTTCCTGTAAAAGGGACCCAATTAACTTAGAATTTCAAAATCAGCTAAAAACCTATTTCTCCCGAGGTCCCCAATAAAAATGTGAGGCAAATCGGTCCAGGGAGTCATGAGTTATGATTGGACATACAAAAAAACACACATAGATTACAACTTGAAATACTATATATTTACAGTATTATACAGACAAATTACAACATATTAACACTGAAAAGTAAGATCTTTGTGATAAGGTATTATTCAATCTTTAGTTCACTTCAGTTCCATTAGCACTGAAGAATAGAATCCATTAAATTCAATTTAATGTTAAATTTATGCAAAATAATTTCGATTTATGTTATTTGCATTGAGAAATAATAATTTAAAACCATTATTGGGTATTGTGTAATTTTTCAATAGTCGATAATTATGTATTTGGTGAAAACATAAAATAAAATGTTTTTGTTTGATGGATTTCCTGGTAGGTTTCCAATCTAATGTCTCCATAAATTCATCCTCTGTATATCTGAACAGAGAATTTTAAAGGAACTCTCATCGTACTTAAAAGTGAACTATAAAAATGGGCATGACCGATTCACATCAGTACCTTAATAAATGCGGAAAACAGAGCAGTTTTTTGTCTAAAAAGTGTTAAATTCTCATAATTTCTCCATAGTTTCTAAAGAAAACAATTTACAATTTACAACAGTTTTCCAAAACAAAAACATGTATTAAAAGCATACTTGATGAGAAAAGTTTTTACGGGTATCGTTGAAAATCGGACATATCCCTCTTTCAATGGGTCAATTGAAATTGCGCTTACAGTCCCTCAGAGAAGGTTAAAATCAATGGAAGTAAAATTAAAACGTGTCCACTGCGTAAAACTGAAATTGAAAAACTAAAGACGACAATCAGTCCACACTGTAGCTTACTTGAGTACATGAGCAGCTTCTAGGTGCAGTTTTTGTCTCTTTAAAACATCAATTAACTCCATTTGTTTCTTGAATCCCTGAAAACAAAGAATCAAAATACAGGGTTAAAAGTAGGGTTTCCATTTTTCCGGAAAAAAATTTCCATTTTGGAAATGGAATGATCCGGAAATTTGTTGCGTAAACCGGAATTCCGGGATAATTCCGGTATAAATGTGTATAACTTTTTCTACCGTCCGGCATCCATCCATATATTGTTAGTATTACTAACTGGTGTTGTATTTACATATGTAAGACTTTAATGTAATTCTGGTACCAATTGTTCCGGAAACCGGAAATTTCCGGAACGATTTTCCGGAAAATTTCTGGAACTCTATTCCGGAACAACGATCCGGAAATTTCCGTTTTACGGAAAAAAAATCGTTCCGGAAATCGTTCCGGAATTCCGGTTTTCCGGAACCTTTCCTTAATGGAAATGGAAAAAATTTCCGGATCATTTCCATATGTAAACCGTAACCCGGAATTCCGGTGGAAACCCTAGTTAAAAGGAATTATTCTATAGTGCTGATGAAAATATATTGCAATTAACTCGATGCCTTTTGAACTATATAGGGCTATATAGGGCTATATAGGGCTATATAGGGCTACCCCGACAAATAAAAATCGAAACAGTGAAACGTTTTACTAAGTGAATAATCAAATCCATAAATAATTTTGCAATCCATAGTAAATTCCACTTAAAATACCGGGTTTATGTCTTCAGAAGGGCTTACTAATGTTTTAACATTAACTTTGTATTTTGTAATTTCACATGAGTGTTAGAATAAAGCTTGTAAACAAATGAACTCCATTTAATTTAGTACAAAAAGATCATAAGATCATATTCTAAATTACTTCGGACATAAAAATGTCGTCATCCAACTACGACTTTGGTCCACTTTATTATTTATTTACTTTCTCAAACCCTCCGATCCTTAATCAGTCCTTTTCACCACGACACGAAAAACTAGTAAGATATATTATTAACAATTCTATTACATTTATACATTGTCATTTATTTGTACTGTACCTGCGTTTTATTGCAGGTTTGAAATATATTTTTATTTTCGTGAATATTTGCAACTACAGTCTATCTACCCATTGATCAACCGACTTACAGTCAATCAAGTCTATCTATCTATTTATCAACCAACTTACAGTCCATCAAGTCTACATATCTATCTATCAACCGACTTACAGTCAATCAAGTCTACCTATCTATTTATCAACCGACTCACAGTCAATAAAGTCTACATATATATTTATCAACCGACTTACAGTCAATCAACCAATGTCGCCCTCCTATAGTTTTACAAGTGTGCACTGTATACTATACAGTCCTTTTTTCAAGTTTTAATAATAAAGGGGTCACATAATTACCAACATTTCTTCTAAAAGAATTTTATTTTTATTAATATGGTAGTATTTTTGAGTTTATAGGAGACATTTAGAAACCATTATTCCGAACAGAAACATCGGATGGAAACTATGTAGACCTTCCCTTTAAACATAATATTTTACCTGCAGCAATTCATTTCTTTGTTTTTCAAGGAATTTATTCTTAATTGTTAGATCCTCAACGGCCTTCCTTCCTCCTTCCTTCAAATATGATACTATTAAAAAAACCTTGATTCCTGGAATTAAAAGATCCCTCTAGGATTAAGTGAAAATGAAATTCTAGACTGTCAGATGGCTTCACAACATGAAAAAAATTGTACAAAGCTTTAAGAAATTTTTGCTTTACTTTCATATTACTCCAAACAAAAGATAAACATAAATGATCTTCAAAATGACATGATGGACCAAACCTCTGTAGAGTAAAAAAGTAGATGTTAGTTCCACATTTATTGAAAATATATTTCGGTCTGGGTTGACCCTCGTCAGTTCTAACGATATAATAACGATCAAAATCTATAAAAAAATAGAAATTTTTTTTGCTGGAAATCACAAGAAACAAGCAAAAAAATATAAATATATGATCTTTATAAATATAAATAAATGATGTTTAGGGTTTTTGATAGAATTTGCAAAATATTCTTCAGATAAAGTTATTCTTCATTCCTACACTTTACAGAGTTGATTACTCGCGTCACCATAAACTCGGACTTTTTAATCCTTTTATCTTTGTAACCTGAAATTTTAATATTTAAAACTATAAATGAGCTAGATTCAATGTTTGTGTGGCGAGTGATGAGCTCCTTCATATCACAATTAGTTCGCCAATAATCATTAATACTCATGTCTGGTCAGTAAACTGATCTTTTATGCTGATCTTTTTAATATTAATAAATGTTTTAAAGAAAAAAGTCTAAATTGGTTCACACAACCATTGGGCTGGTGTGTTCAAGGTTTTTAAGGTCCAAAACATAGTAAATGCATGTTTTTAACATATTTTTATATCCATGAAAAATAAAAAGAACCTTTGCTTCCTTCTTCTCCCTTTCTGCAGCTTGAAGTTCCCCTCTCAACCTATTGGAGTCCTCCAGAGCACGGTTCAACCTATGAAAAGAAAAGCATAAGGTTGGAAAATGAAAATAAATATACAATTTAATGGTTTAACAGTTTGATGGTTTAACAGATTGTCTAAAAGCAGTTTGAGCAATTTGATCAGTTTGAGTAGACCATAGATTACAATACAGATAGAACACTAGAGGTCGTCTTTTCAAGATTTATGCAGTTTTTCGTTCACAATAACCCTGAGGCAGAAGCTCAAAGTAGTTACGCACATGCTGCGTTGAATTACAACACAGAGAGAGAGTATGCGCGTAACTCCTCAGGCTTCTGCCTCAGGGTTATTGTGAACGAAAAATTCCTAAATCTTGAAATGACGTCAATTAGTGTTCTATCTGTGTTGTTATTAATCTATGGAGTATACATAATCATTGTTTAACTATTTGTGTCATTAGAGTTATGAAGGTTTGGATGGAACTTGTCTCTTTATCGAGGTTCAATATTTTTTATACTATTTGTGTTGAGAACCTTCAAGATACGGAAACATTTTAGTCCAGATATGCTGATGGTTTTGATTAGACGGGAATAAGTAGTTAAACTAGGTAAATAAAGTTGAACTACTTGTGTAGTATATATCTGGCGAAGGATTCACCTGACGTCAGAAGTTGTTTTCTTGCTCACATTCTTTTTAATTTCTTTCTTGGCTTCTTCTACTTCTTTCCTGTAGAAATAATACAACAATTAATATATTTTTGCAAGATCAGGGATCAGAGGCCGAATTTAATGAATTCAAAGTTAAAGTTTTCTGAGGATTTGAATCGGTAATAAAGAATTTGAACCGGTGATGTTTAGTTCTGCTAACTTATCAAATTTGGTCCCAAAGTTGATAAAAAGCGATAAGTATTTGAGCTAGGTGTAGGTACTGTCGGTTCAACCAGTTCTCTTGTGCTCCGATTCAAGCTGAAGAGAAGTGGTTTAATCTAATCTATATAGTTCAACTACTTCTCCTAATTATTAAACCTTGGTTCCAAAACATGAATTTGAAATTTCTTACACTGAAATTATTTACCTGAGAAGAATATTCTCATCTTCTGTAGTTCCAACTCTATGTCGTAGATCTACTATCTCCCCCCTAAATATGAAAAAGTCAACTACAATGATTGCAAATACGGAGCAAATGATTTGTAATAAATCTACCTGAGTTTCTCCAATTGGCTTGTCAGTCCTCGATTCTGTGATTCTGTTCGTCGTCTTTGCTCTTCAATATTCCTGTTATCCTGCATATACATATGTTTGAATATACAGTAATAACCAGAAAACTCTGGAATATGAAGACGATTTTGGCCTTAATTTATGACTTTAAATAGTACAATATGCATGGGATACGACAATTGTTCAGTGTAAACAGACCCATTTCACATTATTTGTGATTTAATAAGTGGCTAGTAAAACTATTTGCTTTGTAACAACATCAAATACAATTAAGCAGTGCTATAAAGTCGTCTTCCTATTTTAGAGTTTCTGGTTATCACTCCATATGTTTGTATATATATCAGAGCTAAAGTTTAGGAAAAGGAAAAGCGATAAGTTTATGTTCGGATATCTCTCTTCATTACACCTTCTCCAGGTTTTCTTTTGCTGCCGCTAATTCCGTGTATTCATCTCTAAATAAATATCATAACTTTATAAATAAATATTAGATAATATTTTGTAAATGTGTAGAAAAACAGATATGAATATTATTTTACTGCATTGTATATATCAAATTAACTCTGCAGAATAATAACAATAAGAAAAGAAAAGATGATTCTATCTTTGTTATACTTTATGTATGATTGGCTTGATAGATAATACAAACTGAATAACCTTTCAAAAGGTTTCGAATTTAATCTTGAACACTTGTATTTTATTGTAAAATAAGCTGATGTGCGCTTGAAAATTGTTTTCTAAGTCACCGGCCATTTCTATTTTATCTAAAAACTAAATAATTTTTTGTTTTTATTAATGAATTTAAAAAAAATAAAATCTTATTTTCTTCGGTAATTGATAACCTTCCCCGGGATCAAGAGAGGTAACAAAAAATTTAGTTATATTTACGTTTATAAGCTACATTGATGTAATGACGAAACAAATACATTTATAGAATATGAATGGATGAAAAGCCCCAACTATTTGTAATAAATTAAAATGTACATTGTTTAATCTTTTTAGCTTACCGCATACGATCCAATTGAGTTTCATACGATCTAAGTTTAAGATTTAAGATCTTTACTTGAGTCTGGTCAACCTAAACAAATAAAACAAATCTCAGAACGACAGGAAAAATTCTCAAATGTTTAAACACAGTGTTTATAAAACATAAAAGGATGTTTTGAAATCAAATTCATTATAGATACGATCCAAGAATTTGGTTTAAAATAAAAAATTAATACAAAACTGCATTTTCCACTTACAGGGTCTATACATTCCTCTAGGTTCATTTTAAAGTTTGAATCGAGTGAGATGGGAAACTTTTCTGTGGAATAGCGTTAATCTTGACAGCTTGAGCTTGATATCCAATGTGAGCACTTTTGAAGTTAAAAAGTATATCTACACCATGGACTATCGATGAGAAAGTCTGAAGAAAAAAAGTTAGAACTTTTGTATTGAAAATCTAGGGAGCAATCCTTTATCTCCATCTTATACCGATCTACGGATTCATTTCATTCCTTTTCGACATCTTACGATTGGTGGTTATACTCTGCAATAAATAAATTTGCTTGAGGGCCGGATAGAACGTTTATTCTCAAATATAAAAGGGCTCACGTTGGATATCGAGATAAAGCGTTAAAGATTAAGAATACTCCATACAAAATTCCCGACTCTTAAACGTTTGTTACCTTACCAATCAGCTTTTCTTCTGGAAAGGTTTGGTGATCTAAAATATAAATAAATCATCATTTTAAAGTATCTATAACAATTTTGAAAAGAAAGAAAAATGTAGAGTATTTCATTCAAATTAAGCTAAACCACGTTTTTGTTTCGCTAATTAGATTTTAGGTGTCCAATTAAAATTCACCTAAAGATATTTTACTTGGAACTTCTCTAAGATCCCAACTTTCTTCTTTCTGGTTCTCCTAATTCAAAATACAAAAATGTTAAATCTTATATTAATTTTTGAACGGAGATAATCAATTAACGAATATATTTCATTTTTCGATCCGAGTAAAAATAAATAGTTTCTAAAATAAGCATTGTAAAATGCATCGCGATTTGCGATGCATGGAAATAGTTCATGAAAATATTATTTTTATACCTTTGTAAGGGTTTAATGAATTGAAAAATGTTATTGTGTTCAATTTTTTGTTTCGTTAGAAAATTCAAGCATTAAGAGGTTGCACGGAATTAACTTTCTCTTGTTCTTCTTGAATAGAAATCTGTTCTTGTTCAACCTATAGTTGTATTATACTAACTGATGTTTCTCTTGTTTCTCTTGGATATGCATCCTCCTCTTGTTCTACCTATGATTGTACTATACTACCAGTTGTTTCTCTTGTTTCTCTTGGATAGCATCCTCCTCTTGTTCAACCTTGGTTGTATTATACTACCAGTTGTTTCTCTTGTTTCTTGGATAGCATCCTCTTCTTGTTCTACCTATAGTTGTATTATACTACCTGATCTCTTGTTTCTCTTGGATAGCATCCTCCTCTTGTTCAACCTTGGTTGTATTATACTACCAGTTGTTTCTCTTGTTTCTCTTGGATAGCATCCTCTTCTTGTTCTACCTATAGTTGTATTATACTACCTGATGTTTTCCTTGTTTCTCTTGGAAAGCATCCTCTTCTTGTTTAACCTATGGCTGTATTATACTACCTGTTGTTTCTCTTGTTTCTCTTGGATAGCATCCTGCTCTTGCTCCAACTTGGTTGTACTATACTACCAGTTATTTCTCTTGGATAGCATCCTCCTCTTGTTCAACCTTGGTTGTATTTTACTACCTGTTGTTTCTCTTGGATAGCATCCTCCTCTTGCTCAACCTTGGTTGTATTTTACTACCAGTTGTTTCTCTTGGATAGCACCCTCCTCTTGTTCAACCTATAGTTGTATTATACTACCAGTTGTTTGTTTTGTTTCTCTTGGATAGCATCCTCCTCTTGTTCTACCTATAGTTGTATTATACTACCAGTTGTTTCTCTTGTTTCTCTTGGATAGCATCCTCCTCTTGTTCTACCTATAGTTGTATTATATTCTACCTATAGTTGTATTATACTACCAGTTGTTTCTCTTGTTTCTCTTGGATAGCATGCTCCTCTTGTTCTACCTATAGTTGTATTATACTACCTGTTGTTTCTCTTGTTTCTCTTGTTTCTCTTGGATAGCATCCTCCTCTTGTTCTACTTATAGTTGTATTATACTACCTATTGTTTCTCTTGTTTCTCTTGTTTCTCTTGGATAACATCCTCCTCTTGTTCTACCTATAGTTGTATTATACTACCAGTTGTTTCTCTTGGATAGCATCCTCCTCTTGTTCAACCTATGGTTGTATTATACTACCTGTTGTTTCTCTTGTATCTCTTGGATAGCATCCTCCTCTTGTTCTACCTATGGCTGTATTATACTACCTGTTGTTTCTCTTGTTTCCCTTGGATTAAAATCTCTTCTTTTTTAACCATGTTTTATCATATTACCTGGAGTTCCTCTTGTTCTTCTTGGATGGAAATCTCTTCTATTCTTGGCTCTAAGCGTTTATTATTCTAAATATATAAAAAGCATAAGCATAAAGCAAGTCCAAGACGATTTTTCGATGATGCTCTTCTTTAAATGTTTAACAATTACCTTTTTCTTTTTTCCTTTGTGATTTACTTCCTCTGTTCTTGGCGCCTCCTGTAATTTCAAAAATGAAAGATTATGAATATCTTAAAATATAGATATCTTAAAATATAGATATATCAAATATAGAAATCTTAAAATAAAGATATCTTAAAATAAAGATATCTTACAATAAAGATATCTTAAAATATAGATATCTTACAATATAGATATCTTAAAATATAGATATCTTACAATAAAGATATCTTAAAATATAGATATCTTTCAATATAAATATCTTAAAATATAGATATCTTACAATATAGATATCTTAAAATATAGATATCTTACAATATAGATATCTTACAATATAAATATCTTAAAATATAGATATCTTACAATATAGATATCTTAAAATAGGAATGCACTATAACACTGTTTTTATACATTAAAAGGCAAAACATTAATTATTTGTTTTACATTCTTTATCCTTTACCTTTTGAGTTAAAAAAGATTATTAAAAATATGTTAAAGCAATTTCGTTATTAACACTTTCGAGTAAATGAACAAAAGTGCTGTTCATACTTTTTTTGTGAATTGTTCGCTATACTGCAAAACTTCAGCGCCATCACCATGTTTGTTAAGAACGTTTAAAAGTTTGTTTATACAGACCGCTTGCAAAATCCAAAAAATGACGAAGCTTTAATAGACGACTGCAACACAGTGTACAAAATTGCCGTTAAAATTTAGCTTTTGTGTGCACAGTGATCGTTGATCTTAAAGGGAGTGTTCAAGAAAAATGAAAGGGGGTATAGGCTTAATGCGATAAAAAAAGCGCTTTTGATCGCTACTAATCTTAATTCTATCTGTTGCGTCTATATGGAGAAAATTGTTAAAAACGTCTCATACGTTTATACAAATTGAGGAAGTTGGAACATACGACTTGGATCGTAAAAAAATCAAATTAATATCAAACATATATTTTAGATATTAGATCCTATAGTCATCGATTATTTTTCGACGCATTTGTATGTAGTTGATATTTCATAATATTTTTTATTTTGTGTTTTTTTTAATTAATATTTCGCTTACAACTTGTTTTCACGACTGGCGCATTCCCGGAAAATATGGAAAATGTCGTCTTCATTATTAAAATCCTCGAATCAGGAATGAATATTTTCAAAAGTCACTCTCGGATTATAGAAAGTAAAAAATATTATGAAATATTAACTATATACGAATGCGTCGAAAAATAATCGATGACTATAAGTTGTAATATCTGAATGCTTTGTTGGGAATTAAATTGGTTTTGTTTCTGAATTTGTAAGGAATCTACGTTCTTCGGTATGAGACGTTTTTAACAATTTTCTCATTATAGACGCAACAGATAGAAGAAAGATTAGTAGCGATCAAAAACGCTTTTTTATTGCATTAAGCCTATACCCCTTTCATTTTTCGCGAACACTCCCTTTACAGTTTGAACTAGATATCCAATGTGGGCACTTTTAAATACTTTATTCCCAGATTAACAACATAAAAGATCTGATTTCTTGTTGTATATATATTCTCATATGTCATTAAATGCATGAAAAAACTACGGCAATGCATAATGCTTGATTTTTAAGAGTGTTCAAGGAGTCATTGATTGTAAGTAACCAAATATCTAAGAACAGATAAAAAATCGTATTTATACCTGAGGTATTGGAGCCCAAACATACGTATTTCCTCCTGCTGATGGAGTGAAGGGGTCCGGAAGTGTGACCGGAAGTGGGGCCCAGATAAAATTGTCCTCCTCTTTATTCTCCGATCCTTGGATTTCTGCCTCCCTGGTTTTACTGGTTGGCCTTGAGAAAACATGAATTTACCGAAAATAAAAAAGTACAATTAGGATTTTCAGCGGAAGCAAACTTTTGCGCAAAAATACGCAAATTGGCAAATTTTTCTACATAAGAAATGCCCAAATTATAGAATTTGCAGCGGAGCAATCTACTATTTCTATTATTTGTTGTTATTATTATGTTTCATGCTTTAATTTCATTCTATAATTTTCCTTTTTAAAGTTAAATAGAGAAAAATAAGTCTCAAGTTCAACAAGCGTTAAACCCATACCATTAACAAAGCTTAGTATTTTTAAAATAAGACTTAAAAAAAATTTTCTCTTCTTTTTTCTTTTCGATTTTTTATCGCTAACTTGCTGACAGAACGTTTTCTCAGAATTAAATAAATTACCTTGAATTTCTTGGTTTAGAAAGACGACATTTTGTGGCTCCTTTCTTCTTTGGCTCAACACTAATACATGCAACAGTTTAAAAATGGATAATATAATATTTTATTACATTAATGTAAAATGCTTCTCAATAAAACTAATTTCAAGTAAAACTTGTGGTAACTTAAACCTCGCATGTTTAGAGTCCAGTTCAGCATTCAACTTTAATAATTCCTTTTCTCGAGTCAGCAGTTCATCCATTTTTAGTCTTAAAAACTGTAGATCATAATAACACAAAAAAAATAATAATTGACTTTTAAAAAAACTTCAGAGGGACAGACGTTCTTTACAGATTTTTTATTTACAATTTTTAATCATATTCCTAAGATATTGGATATTCTAATCATATTCCTAAGATATTGGATATTATAATCATATTCCTAAGATATTGAATATTTTAATCATATTCCTAAGATATTGAATATTTTAATCATATTCCAAAGATATTGAATATTTTAATCATATTCCAAATATTTTTAAATTTTTTTTGCACAGAGTTTCCCTCGAAGGATAAGACTATAATGACAACATCTTTAAATTTGACTGTATGACGGGTAAGTTTGGTCTTCTAAACTAATGTTCGCAATGAATTTGAATATACAGGATGTCCCACGAAATGTGACAGTTGGTGAATAATTTAAAATGTCTTCTTCCATAATTTGATAAGCTGTTTGATACTAAAGAGACTAACAACATTTTTTATGTGACATGTTTTAGTATAATAAAATTGATATAACAGTAATATATATATGAGTTAACCATGTTTTAAAAGAAATAAACCGCAAAAAGTCTTTAATATCTATAAATACAGTATGTGGAAGAAGACATTCAAAACAATTCATCAACTGTAATGTTTTGTGGGACAAACTGTTTATCCAGAAAGTTAGAGATACAGTAATCGCAAGAACAGTGGGAATTAAAGAAAAGTCAAAAAATTAATTTTTAAGTGTATTTTCTGTTGTCATATTATTAAAAATATTTGTAATAATAGCTTAAAAAATGAATAAAAGAATCCTTATAGAATATAGATTAAACGCAATTGTTGATTTTCTCTAAAATTTCTAAAAAATTTCTTTTGGTATAAAAAAGTTGTTTATTTATTTCACAGGTCAGTGAGGATCATTGAGTATTATGTATAAGATGTTCAGTTAATATAAAAGTCTGCTATATACTGAAGTAAAATTTAGAATATTGACTAAACATGTGAAGAGAGTGAAAGCGTTGTTTTCTGGATTTCTATATTTCCCCCCTCCCCCTCCCCTCACCCTTCCTTTCTACACCCTTGTTTATATTCCCCTTATCCCCCCTGATTATACACTGGGCCCGGGGGGGGGAGGCGGGGGTATCTTTTACCAAATACTTTGGATAACCAAAAGAAAGCTGTAATTTGAAGTTTTGAAGTTCTATAAAGATAAAAACAAACAATTGGTAAAATTATGTTTTAGCAGAGAGTATATTCAAAATCAATGCCTTTTGGGATGAACATTTCCCTCAGGAATATTTAGTGATTATAAGCTAAAATATTCTAGGAAATGGTTGCTAACTTCAAGGATGCATTTAAGATGATAATACATAAACCTGTACTTTCAAAAATGGCCTTTTGAGACTAAAGACATGTAGCAAAAGCGTGTAAACATGATATTCTGTAAACTTGCATTACGTTGTACGTTACAAATGATTTAATGTTTTAAACTTTCGCCACATTTATATATAGTTTATATTTTATAATATTTTATTTTTTTAGAAAACGTTTCCAACGGATTTCGAAAATTGTGAGTGGTCCGTAGCATTCTTAGATAGTTGCGCAAGCCGCAAGAGAGATAATCAAATAAATTAAAAAATATTATAAAGTATAAACTATATACAAATGTGGCGAAAGATAATCGATGACTATAGGTTGTAATATCTAAATGATTTGTCTAAAATTAAATTGATATTTTACGGTCTAAGTCGCAAGTTGCAGTTTTCTCAATTTGTATGGCCGCTAAGTTATTCGGTATAAGACGTCTTTAACAATTTTCTCCTTATAGACGCAACAGATAGAAGTAAGATTAGTAGCGATCAAAAGCGCTTTTTTATCGCACTAAGCCTATACCCCCTTTCATTTTTCGCAAACACTCCCTTTAAATATCTACCATAAACTTTAACTGTATACGATAAATATGTAACACGATGGTCATGTGATATCAATAACATCGTAGGAATTGAATTTCGTCAATTCCTGTTAACTTTGTAACCTAAGCTATTGAATTAACTTAGATGATTGAGACTTTGCATTTATCACAGAAACTCGAATTAGTCTGTGTTCTCGTTCAAAGATCGAGTGTTGATCTTTGCTAACTGTTTTAGCATTGATTCTAGCTAGTAGAGATATTGAAGTTTGCAGCATATTGGGTCCCTTCCGCTGCACAATTACGATTTAATACTAATTACTCTACCGGAGGGATGGTAATTAACACTCAGAACACTAATTACTCCATCGGAGAGATGGTAATTAATACTCAGGAAACTAATTACTTCATCCGAGGGATGGTAATTAACACAAAGGACACTGATAACTCCATCAGAGGGATGGTAATTAACACAAAGGACACTAATAACTCCATCAGAGGGATGGTAATTAACACAAAGGACACTAATTACTCCATCAGAAGGATGGTAATTAACACTCAGGACACTAAATACTCCATCGTAGGGATAGTAATTAACACTCAGGACACTAATTACTTCATCGGAGGGTTGGTAATTAACACTAAGGACACTAATTAATCCATCGGAGGGATGGTAATTAACATCCTGAGTGTTAATTACCATCCCTACATTAGTATTAAATCGCAATTGTGCATTCCCTCCGCTGAAAACAATTTCCCTCTGGTGGCCTCCGCTTCAGCAGCGAGGACAAAATATATGCTGCTGCAAACTTCAATCTCTCGAGCTAGTGTCTGATTGACATCGTTAGCTCATGAGATTGTGCTTAGAGCATTGAATCGAATTTGGCCTGAAGGCTTGTGATCTCGTCGTGACTTTGCCTTGATAACTGGCAATTGAATCGAAGAGTTAGTTCTATATTATTGGATGTGTGTGTTCCTGTGTTACATTTAGAGCCGGTCCTTGTTGAATATAGAGTCTCACATTTGTCCTATATTATTGGATGCTTGTATCCCTTTGTGGCATTTAGAGCCGGTTCTGGTTGAATATAGTGTCTGAGATTTGTCCTATGATATTGGATGCTTGTTTCCCTTTGTGGCATTCAGAGCCGGTCCTGGTTGAATATAGTGTCTGAGATTTGTCCTATGATATTGGATGCTTGTGTCCCTTTGTGGCATTTAGAGCCGGTCCTGGTTGAATATAGTGTCTGAGATTTGTCCTATGATATTGGATGCTTGTGTCCCTTTGTGGCATTTAGAGCCAGTCCTGTTTGAATATAGAGTCTGAGATTTGTCCTACAATATTGGACGCTTGTGTCCCTGTGTGGCATTTTGAGCCGGTCCTGTTTGATTGTGTTAACTGATAGACCTGGATAGATATGTCTCCAGTAAATTGTTATGGAGTAGGTATTTGCTACAGACATAAGTGACAATATATGTAAATTTTTAGAGTAGCAAATCCTATTTTCAAAAGTACTCTTAAGCCTATGTTTCATAAAGTAGTAATCTCTGTTTATCTGTCGGTTTAATTGTTTGGATGTCTGTTTCTTTGGATCATAACTCAAGAACCCCCAAACCGATTTGCCTCAAATTTAGTTTGAGGAACTCGGTAGAAAACGGGAATGCTCCAAACCGGTAGGTTGACTTTTACAGGAAAAAATCCAAGCAAAGCTGGGTTCCCAAGTTATTGTACTGTTTGTAATAAAATTGTGTTTAAGTGCGCATGAGTATTGAGAACACCCGGTTTATGCATTTAAAGAATGCGCGTTGCACACACAACCATTGTGTTAGTATCCAACATGAAAAACAGGTTTTCATTATTAACTGTTATTTTTAGCCTTCTTAATTTAAACCGTAGTATTAGGAGATTAATTTAGATATATTCTCAAAGCAACATAATATCTTTCTAATATGTTTGAAATATGCTTTTATATGTTTGAGACAAATATATGTATTTATTTTGATTTGATATTCTATACATATATGTATTTATAATATAATTACGAGTACTGCAGGGGGAAAACCTAATCTCGGGTTAACTTAAGATAGTCAATTCCAGGACCATAGGTTATCTGATAAAAGCTTGTTTTAAAAAGCAGCAATACAATTGAGCTAAAAAGAAGAATAAGTACTTTTAAAACAGTTTTATCTTATTTACATTTAAACTTATAAATTTTTCTCCTCCCCACCCTGCTAAATGATTTGTCTAAAATTAAATTGATATTTTACGGTCTAAGTCGCAAGTTGCAGTTTTCTCAATTTGTATGGCCGCTAAGTTATTCGGTATAAGACGTCTTTAACAATTTTCTCCTTATAGACGCAACAGATAGAAGTAAGATTATTTCTAGTTAATTCGTCTAAATTCTTCCTTATATTACATAACTCTCCCCTGCTGTGGTACTTTTGTTGAAACAACCATATAATGATGGGTCATAAACAGTCCGGTAAAATATTCACCAGCTGCATAAAGGAGCATATCAGAGAGCATCCAGTCGGCTACCTAATTTAGATATACAGTCACAGAGCAGAGATAATTTACACAGAGTGAAAATGAATCGAAAAAAGTATAAAGCCGCCATTTTTTGTACTGGACCGTACACTACACGTGTACTTCACACATTTGTACTGTAAAACCTGTGGGCCCTGGAAAGATAAACCATTTAGCATATATCATTTTACGAATGCGACTTTTACGTTTTAATGTTTGATAAAAAAAAAATCAATTTAATTCACCGAATACATATTTTAAAATCAATTTGACTACTTTTAAAAAGAAGAACTTGTAAACGATATGTCCAGGAAGCAAACTGTACTGTTTTGATGTACTGCTTATAATTAATTACCGCCATATTTATAGATTGCATACATGTACCTATTAAGCCCTAATTTTACATTACAAAATTCAATTTCTATTCTTACCTTAACCAATTTTTCAATCAATGTTAAGATAAAATGTTTAATTCATAATTCAAAATTTGATTAAAATCTATGGAAATTAGTTTCAGATTTTATATTTAAAAAGTTCAAATTTTGTGTACTCTTTAAGCTGTCAGGTTAGACGGTTAGGCTTGGCAGACGGAATGATCCTTTTTTTTAAACATTTAAGTTGTTTGGCTTTGAAGTGACAAAAATCTAAGATGTTCTGCATGTTCTTAACCTGTTTATTTTTATTTTTGTTAACAAATGGTTGATTTCCATGCTTTTTCAGAGTAAGAATTTGGCAATTTTGTAGAGAAAATATTTTTGTAATTTATTAGCTTTTGTAGATTAGTGGAAAGATAAGTAGCAGGTGAACTAGATTAGACTGGTTAAACTACAGTGAAACCCTTAATAACGAATACATCGGAAGAATTTATGGAATGTCGTCTTGACAATTTTTCAATGAGTTTTATACTATATTTCGTAAATTTCAGTATTTGCGAAAATAAATAAATAGCTATGAATATGCAGGAACAGTTTTAAATTGTTCCATATAATCATTTAATTAAAAAACTAAATATCTTCAACAATCCATTATCAGAAAGTGAAGAATACGACATTTGATGAATTCTTTCGAAGCATTCGTTATTAAGGGTTTCACTGTACATGGTTACTCAGAAAAGGATTAGACTTCAGAGACTGCTGCACAAAATGTATTCAGTCTTTTTTTTGTCGCTCATATCCCTAAAACTGTAAACTTGTGTCTTTTTTATCAAATCTTCTAATACAACATTTGATGTTGTCTTTTATAAAATCTTTGCTTAATTGGATAACCCAAGTATGTAACTTGACAAATATTCTTAACTCTAAATGGTTTTCAAGCTAGGGAAACGTAGGGCTGGGCAAAGTTCAGTGAAAGAAACGGTTTTCGAAAATTAACGGCAGAGTCTGTTAACGAACGGAAAAAAACGTAAATTTTTAAATTGTTGAATAAACAGATTAGCTGTTTTAAAAAAGAATTAACGGTCGAAAAAGAAACGGATTTTTTCAAAACGATGAATTTCGTTTTTTTCTGCTTGAAACAAGTAAAAAAAAATTGTTTTTATGTTTTTAAATGTTATCTTCTGCCAGCACTGTTTAACCCATCCTCCCCCCCCCCCCATTCCCCTCTACTAGCTTTAATGCAAGAATAATAGAGGGCGTTTCCTGAACCTCTTTCTCATGATAATTTTATTTTTTACATCTTTTATTCTAAACCATTTACTCAATTTACAACTCATTGAATCCAATAGTTCAATAGAGGGTTCAGTTTTGTTAAAAAAAATATAAATCAATATATGTTGTATAACTTTCCCATATTGTATATTGTAAATGGATACTTGATTGACTTATTAAAGGGATTGTAAATGTAATTTCAAATCCTTTATTTAGTTTAGAGCAAAGCTATAATGCAAGGAAAGTTAATTGCAGTTGCGTATACTCTGCGTACATATTGAAACCAGAGTCTAAAACTAAAGAACGAAAAGTTTTGACTTAAATTTTAAGTTCATGGTTAAATGCCACTTCTGACTTAATTTAAACCTGAACTTTAACCGTGAGGTTAAATATTTAACCCTGTGGTTAAATATTTTACTCGCTGAAATCGACGAGTTAAAATTTAAACACAGGTTTAAAATCTTGAAATCCTGCATTTTCCCTATTTGTCTATTATTCAATCATCATTCAGCTGAGAAAGTGGCATTCAACTTTACGGTATATTTAAAAGTGAAAACCTTGTTAAAGAAATTTCACGTTTTAGATAAATTAATTTTTGGGTGTAAACCCAAAAAACGGTTGTATGTTTTGTTTTCGGTTACGTAAGAACAGCTGATTAGCGATGGTTATGAAATTTTCTCCGTAAATCCTTTTCTCTGATTGGTTCAGATTTTTCCCGGGAAATTCAAATTTAAAATTGAGAAAGTTTAATATTTAAGTAGCTATTCATTATTTTACAGAACTTTTAACGTCGAACTTAAAATTCGCGCATTCTTTAGTTTTAGACTCAGTTCTCTCTGGGTGGAATTTGTAAACGAGAATGGATCAGTGTTCTTTTGTTATCCAAGACGGTTAAAAGCATTACATTTTTATAGATTTGACAATTCAGATAATAGTTTCCTATGACAAAAATATTTCATTGATTTTTTATGGGAAAGATGGATCCCATGTCAGGATTCGACATCCGTCTTGTGTTTACATTACCGCCCAGAGACAGTACACTGCAGTACAAAAGATGCATACACATTTTTGAAATAACTTTCCTTGCTTTATAACCTTGGTCTAGAGTCTGTTTTTCCAACTTAAAAATTGAGTGACTATGCATATGCAGTGATTGTTAAAATCTTGTTTGCATTCTGTTTTATTTTTTAAATTTTTTAAATATTATTTACTGTTTTATTTTTAAATTTTTTCTTAAATATTATTTACTGTTGTTTTATTTTTAAATTTTTTCTTAAATATTATGTACTGTTTTATTTTCATAAATACTTTCCCAGACTATATCTAGTTTAATGTTCATTAATACTTTACCAGACTATATCTGGTTTAATGTTCATAAATACTTTCCCAGACTATATCTGGTTTGATGTTCATAAATACTTTACCAGACTATATCTGGTTTAATGTTCATTAATACTTTCCCAGACTATATCTGGTTTAATGTTCATTAATACTTTACCAGACTATATCTGGTTTAATGTTCATTAATACTTTACCAGACTATATCTGGTTTAATGTTCATTAATACTTTCCCAGACTATATCTGGTTTAATGTTCATTAATACTTTACCAGACTATATCTGGTTTAATGTTCATTAATACTTTCCCAGACTATATCTGGTTTAATGTTCATTAATACTTTACCAGACTATATCTGGTTTAATGTTCATTAATACTTTCCCAGACTATATCTGGTTTAATGTTCATTAATACTTTACCAGACTATATCTGGTTTAATGTTCATTAATACTTTCCCAGACTATATCTGGTTTAATGTTCATTAATACTTTACCAGACTATATCTGGTTTAATGTTCATTAATACTTTCCCAGACTATATACATTTCATTGTTCATAAATACTTTCCCAGACTATATACATTTCATTGTTCATAAATACTTTCCCAGACTATATACATTTCATTGTTCATAAATACATTCCCAGACTTTATTTTGTTCAATCTTTATAAATAATTTCCCGGATTGTAGTTTGTTCAGCATTTATAAATACTATAAGGTTAATAGATAGTTTCCAAGTCTGTGTAAAGTTCAATGTTTAAAAATACTTTCCCAGACTGTATAGTACTGTCGTAAACTCTGCCAGACTTGGTTCTGTTTTGTATTCTCCTAGACTTTAAATTGAACTAGTTGGGTTTCCTGGTTCAAAGCAGTAGCTTACAATGGTCAGTCATATGGGTTTACAGGTTAATACTTCTATCTATCTATCCATCTATCCAGTTATCTCTTTAAAATCTACATCTTTCTATCCATTTAATTCAATAATTATCTATCCTAATAATCTATCATTCTATCCATTTAATTCAATAATAATCTATCCTTCTTTCCATTTAATATAATAATAATCTATCCTTCTATCCATTTAATTCAATAATAATTTATCCTTCTATCCATTTAATTTAATAAAAATATATCCTTCTATCCATTTAATTCAATAATAATTTATCCTTCTATCCATTTTATTTAATAACAATCTATCCTTCTATCCATTTAATTCAATAATAATTTATCCTTCTATCCATTTTATTTGATAACAATCTATCCTTCTATCCATTTAATTCAATATTATATTATCTATTTATTTGTGTTACTAAAGTAAACTTAAACGATTTACGATTAGGAATCTTGGATATTATATTTATAAAATATATTAACAGATTTGTTTACCTAAATCTCTATCATTTATATCCATTTAATTATCTCTTCGATGATTTCTCTGATTTGTGTTGATTGATATTCTCGATGTTCTTGATCAAAAGTTCTGACGTTTTGGGTTTTAAAGATATCGATTTGAAGACGATTTGAAGTGTAAATATTTATGTACTATAATTACAAATTATATAACATATTACATATAACATGATTTGAAGTGGAAATATTTATGTACTATAATTACAAATTATATAACATATGACATATAACATGATTTGAAGTGTAAATATTTATGCACTATAATTGCAAATTATATAACATATGGCATATAACATGATTTGAAGTGTAAATATTTATGCACTATAATTACAAATTATATAACATATGACATATAACATGATTTGAAGTGTAAATATTTATGTACTATAATTACAAATTATATAACATATGGCATATAACATGATTTGAAGTGTAAATATTTATGCACTATAATTACAAATTATATAACATATGGCATATAACATGATTTGAAGTGTAAATATTTATGCACTATAATTACAAATTATATAACATATGGCATATAACATCCAAATTTAAAGGTATTCACGATACAATTGGATTGATGCGGGACACCCTGAGATAACCAGAAATTCGGGAATAGGAAGACGACTTTTAGACTCAAGTTATGACTTTAAATAGTCTAGAAAACATGAGGAAAATAAATTTTGCAGTTTACACAGACTCATTTCACTTTAAAAAGTGATTTATTAACAACATCAAATGTACTTCACTATTGATTTAATATCTTCTTCATATTTTACAGTTTTTGTCAGTGTTTAGGAATAGGTAATGTGACGTTCACATTAAATTTATTTTACCCAAATTATTTTTATAGATTTGATACTTTAAAAAAAAAATATTTGTTTAGATAATAATACTGCTGTTGGCTGTTGCCGGTAGTAGATGTAGAGCTGTTGAGGAGGAAACAACAATACAACCTCCTTTACCTTTTAAAGTAAACTCATTTTTCTTTCCTCTTGTTATCCATCTCTTCTCTTGTTATCATTCTTTCTTTTTTATCAATCTTTCTCTTGTTATCAATCTCTTCTCTTGTTATTCATCTTTCTCTTGTTATCCATCTCTTCTCTTGTTATCCATCTCTTCTCTTGTTATCCTTCTTTCCGTTTGTTATTCATCTTTCTCTTGTTATCCATCTCTTCTTTTGTTATCCTTCTTTCTATTTGTTATTCATCTTTCTCTTGTTATCCATCTCTTATCTTGTTATTCATCTTTCTCTTGTGATTCATCTCGTCTCTTGTTATTCTTCTTTCTCTTGTTATCCATCTTTCCGCTTGTTGTCCATCTTCCTCGTCTTATCCATCTTTCTCTTGTTATCCATCTTTCTCTTGTTATCAATCTCTCCTCTTGTTATCAATCTCTTCTCTTGTTATTATTCTTTCTCTTGTTATCCATCTTTCTCTTGTTATCAATCTTTCCTCTTGTTATCCTTCTCTTCTCTTGTTATCCTTCTTTCCATTTGTTATTAATCTTTCTCTTGTTATCCCTCTTTCCTCTTGTTATCCATCTTTCCATTTGTTATCCATATTTCTCTTGCTATCCATCTTTCCTCTAGCTATCCATCTTTTCTCAAGTTATCCATATTTCCTATTGTAATCCATGTCTCTGTTATCCATCTTTTTAATTAATGATATTTTATATTTCAGTACGCTTTTGCTGCATCCCGCACACCGAACGGTACACCCGACAGGTGAATTAGAAAGTCGTTTTCACTCAACTTAATCTTTAAATTACAATTGTAAATGGACATTTTTCTTTTTTTCTTTTGTCTCCTTGAAGGCAAAATCAATGAGAACTTTTATAATGACCACGTCCACATATTTGTTTTCTGAAAATTTGATGATTTCTGCAGTTTATTTTTGTCTAATTCTCAGGCAGAGGCCCAAGGAAGTTACGTGCGCATGCCGCGTTGAAAACTTGAATTACAAGACAGAGGGAGAGCCTGTTATAGCCGCAGCGTTCGGTCCCCTAGCCTGTCCTAGCCGTAGCGCTCGACCCAGAAAGTGTCTTAATCTAACCTAACCCTAAAATATTTATTAATCTCTCTCTTTCTTGTAATTCAACAGGGCAAGCGCACGTAACTTCCTTGGGCAACTGCCTAATTCTCAATATTTACCATTTTTGAAGGAGAAAGCAGATTGTAACATCATTATTTTGACGTCTTTTTAAACCTAATGCTTGTAGAATCATCATTAAACCTTAAAAGGCTTCGTATTTTTGTAAATAGCTAATTAAACACTTTTATTTTATTTTACTTCATTTTATTTTGTTTCTAGATACGTAGAACAGGAGGGAGATGCTACAGGTTTAAATTTTAAAAGAAAAAGTATTTATATGTACAATTTACCCAGAGGATATGGTTTGTTCACTGTGTGCCTCAGAATATATATACTATAGAATAACAGGTGGTAGCATTTGGTTTGGGAAGTGTTGGACTGTGGAGGTTATGCAGTACAATACATAAATGTCCAGATGTTCAGTAATTTTGGGGGGTATGTTTGATCCGTATTACAATTTAACACTGAACAATACCTCATGCTTGTTTATATTGAGAAATCATGTAACTGATCAAAACAAATCCCCCCATGAACAGTGTACTTCATGTACACAATAACATACCAATACATGTTTACAATGTCATACCAATACAGGTGCCACCTGTTATTCTATTGTATATATATTCTGAGCTGTGTGCACATTTTAAGATAAAAATAAATATTTTCCTGTTCCATCATTGTTAAATAGCTGTTTTTAAAAACAGTAAACTAAGTTTCAGAACTATCCTAATATGTCACAGTGAAATATGAACAAATCCTTTTTTTGACATTACAGTACAGTAAAGTACAGTCAAGTACAGTACAGTACAGTACAGTACAGTACAGTACAGTACATTACAGTACAGTACAGTGCAGTACAGTACAGTACAGTAAAGCACAGTACAGTACAGTACAGTACAGTACAGTACATTACAGTACAGTACAGTACAGTACAGTACAGTACAGTACATTACAGTACAGTACAGTACAGTACAGTACAGTACAGTACAGTACAGTACAGTACAGTACAGTACAGTACAGTACAGTACAATACAGTACTTTAAAGTACAGTACAGTAAAGTACAGTACAGTACAGTAAAGTACAGTACAGTACAGTACAGTAATTAATAATTTTAAAAATTACATAGTTTGGTATTTGTTAAGACTGAAATGAAAATGGTGTCTCGACAATAAAAAATAGTCCAACATATCCTTAAATAACCTCATTAAAAGATGTTTGAATAATTGTAATACAAATTTAACAATTAAAGGAGTAATCAGAGGTTCTTATGCCTATCTTGATCCGAACTACGAATGGCAAAAGGTAAACAATATGTTATTCATGACATTTATTTATTTAACCAATATTGTTTCTATATAGTATATACAATACATGCATATGAAGAATAATCCAGAATTATTGACAGATTTATTGTATCGTAATTCGTAGCTCCCAGTTTTTTCATGCTTTTTTAATCTTTTCAATATATATATTGTTTACACAGCTGTTTTTATTGGCTCATGGACTTTTAAATGATTTCAAGCGACTGTAGACTTGTATATCTTGGTGTAGGTTTCCTATGTAGCAGATGAGAATGGATTCCATGTTGATTCTGCTAATCTTCCTCAACCCAACCCTCTTAAACATCCAGAGGTACAATACCTTGTAGTCTTGTACTCATATACAATATTAATTACTTGTAATCTTGTACTCGTGTAAAATGTCTTGTAATCTTGTACTCAGCCACAATATTTTGTAATCTTGTACTCGTGTACAATATCTTTTAATCTTGTACTCAAGTACAATAACGTGTAATCTTGTACTTAGCCACAATATTTTGTAATCTTGTACTCGTGTACTATATCTTGTAATCTTGTACTCAAGTACAATAACGTGTAATCTTGTACTCAACATCAATATTTTGTAATCTTGTACATGCATACGTAGTACGTACTATACTTTTTTTCTTGTAAATGCAATTATTTTATTGTCCTTTCACAATTTTTCATTTACGGTTTAATTCCGAAAATCCCAATTTATACCTGTCCTATGCATATATGCACGATTCAATATGATGTTGAGCATTGCTTCTACTTTGTACTTGTATTAAATAAATAAACGGTTTAAAACAAGGAAATAAATAATTAAACATGTTTATATTACAGGTTAGTATAGTTAACTGCATAATTTGACAAATAAAAAGTTTACATTTTCAAGAAACCAATTGAATTAAAAAAAAACTGTTTCCATTTGCAGGTTTATAAGTTAGGGGTAAGTTATGAACATCCAAAATTCCCTGTTAACTTAACATGGATATTCCATTTATCCAGAATTCCATAAACCCATGGAATTATTGATATCATGCATTAACCAGCTTTGTATAGGATACTATTGCTGTTACAAAAGCTAAGACCAATCATGCTAGACTCTACCAAGAAATTGCTCTCAGGAACTCTCAGGTGCAAAAAAAATGTTTAAAATAGGTCTCATTCTTAGCAAGTATTTGACCATTAATCAATGATCAAACAATTAAGTATATATTTTCAGTTACATTTTATTAACAAACCACTAACATGGCCACTTCAGAATGAAAATATAATAAAAACTGTATAGTTTAAATTTTATAATTTTTTTGTTCTTTAGAATCGTTATTTGTTTTTAATGAATATTAAGGTTCCTTTTTCAATAATTTCTAATTATTCAGGTTCCTGTTCCAATAATTTATAAATATTCAGGTTCCTGATCCAATAATTTCTAATTATTTAGGTTCCTGTTCCAATAATTTATAAATATTCAGGTTCCTGATCAAATGATTTCTAATTATTCAGGTTCCTGTTCCAATAATTTCTACTCCCAATGTTGAGAGTGCAGCTGTTGCAGCTAAGCGATCAGAATTTCAGGAACAGTATGCTCAAATAGTGGCGGAACATGCAAGGTAAACCAAGGAACAGTATGATCAAATAGTGGTGGAACATGCAAGGTAAACCAAGGAACAGTATGCTCAAATAGTGGCAGAACATGCAAGGTAAACCAAGGAACAGTATGCTAAAATAGTGGCGGAACATGCAAGGTAAACCAAGGAACAGTATGCTCAAATAGTGGCAGAATATGCAAGGTAAACCAAGGAACAGTATGCTCAAATAGTGGCGGAATATGCAGGGATACCCACGTATCGTACAAAGACAATATGAGTCTTTAGAGAAGAATGTACTGAGATTTTTGATTCTTTATTTCGAACATAATTGGTTCCTTGTAGCTTTCAAATTTTTAAATACTTTGCAGGTTGAAGTATCTAGTAAACATACTAAGAACGTATTCAAACAAGAAATCTAATTTTACCTATAGATCGTCAGAAAAGAGATTAATGTCGTCTCCCTGCAAACATTTAGTCTCCGACAATTTACCCGCCAACTTCGCCATCGTCACATAAAGTCGGTAAAAATGTTTCCTGGGCTGCAATGTTGCTTGTTATGTGGGTGCCGGGTCTGTCCTAGTGAATGATTTTTGGACCTCCCCCTCCCCCACTACTATCAATTTAGTACAAGACGAAATTAGTAAATTAGTATTTATTTATTATTATTTAGGGTTAGGTTAGGTTAAGACACTTTCTGGGCCGAGCGCTGCGGCTAGGATAGGCTAGGGGACCGAGCGCTGCGGCCACGGGTTAATTATTTCCATGTCTAACATATAAGATCCATGTACAAAATTGATAGGAGGGGGGCCTGGGGGGTCCAAAAATCGTTCTCTAGGTTCTATAGGTGCTTCTGTAGCTAAGAATGTATATTTAATATCATACTTACTCGTCTTTGAATTATTAAGTTTAGCGGAACATCTAGAATATGTTTAGAATTGCTGCTGAGCATGCTAAACTAGCGGAACTAGCGGAACTAGCGGAACTAGAGGAAGTTGAACGCCTGGAGAAAGAGAGAACAAATAAACAATATTATTAATTTGTATTTGGACGCCTTATATATTTATTAATTTTAATTATTATTATTGAAATATTATTTATATTTAAGTAACCATTGTTTTTTTAAATGCAGACTTTTTTGAAATTGCAATTATTTACCTATTTGAAAATACTACCAAAGCATCCCTATTATTTGGAAGGAGCAACATCTAGGTCTATTTAACCACTTGAAGATATTCTTGGGGCCCTGAATGATCAAAACGCTTAACGAAAACTTATACTGTGTTTTTGCTTCATGAAGTTGGACGACTCATAAACGTAGTTTTTATTTTTGGTTGGACAGATTTACTAGACAATCAAACGATGCCTAAGCTTAAAAGCTCAAAGCTAATCATAAATAAGTGCATTGAATTAAACGAGGATCCTGTGTCATCTCCAAGAGCATCATATTTCATCTCCAAGAGGATCCTATATTATCTCCAAGCAGATCTTGTGGCATCTCCAAGAGGATCCTGTATCATCTCCCAAGAGGATCCTGTTTCATCTCCGAGAGGATCCTATATCATCTCCAAGCGGATCCTGTGTCATCTCCAAGAGAATCCTGTTTCATCTCCAAGTGGATCCTATATAATCTCCAAGAGGATCCTGTTTCATCTCCAAGTGGATCCTATATAATCTCCAAGAGGATCCTGTTTCATCTCCAAGTGAATCCTGTATCATCTCCAAGAGAATCCTATATCATCTCCAAAAGGATCCTGTGTTATCTCCAAGCGGATCCTGTGTCAACTCCAAGCGGATTCTGTGACATCTCCAAGAGGATCCTGTAACATCTCCAAGAGGATACTGTATCATCTTCAAGAGGATCAGGTGTAAACTCCAAGAGGATCCTGTATCATCTCCAGGAAGATTCTGTGTCGATCATCTCCAAGAGTATCCTATGTTAATTCCAAGAGAATCCTATGTCATCAAGAGAATCCTGTGTAAACTTCAAGGGGACCCTGTGTCATCTCCAAGAGGATCCTGTGTCATCTCCAAGAGAATCCTGTATCATCTCCAAGAGGATAGTATATCATCTCCAAGCAGATCCTGTGTCATCTCCATGAGGATCCTTTTTCATCTCCAAGAAGATCCTGTATCATCTCCAAGAGCATCGGGTGTAAACTCCAAGAGGATCCTGTGTTATCTCCAAGAAAATCCTGTGTCGATCATCTCCAAAAGGATCCTATTTTATCTCTAAGAGAATCCTGTGTTAACTTCATAAGGATCCTGTGTCATCTCCAAGCGTATCTTGTTTCATCTCCAAAAGGATCCTATGTTATCTTCAAGAGGATCCCATGTCATCAAGAGAATCCTGTGTAAACGTCATGAGGATCCTATGTCATCAAGAGAATCCTGAAGAAACTCCAAGAGGGTCCTGTGTCATCTCCAAGAGGATCCTGTTTCATCTCCAAGAGGATCTTGTTTCAACTCCAAGAGGATCTTGTTTCAACTCCAAGAGGATCCTGGTTCTTCTCCAAAAGGATTCTGTGTCATCTCTAAGAGGATCCTATGTTATCTCCAAGAGGATCCTGAATCATTCATATCCAAGAAAACGTACTTTAGCTTACAAAAGAGCTGTCTAATCTTGGGGATTTAAATTATGTTATGACATGTACTTCAATCGTGTAACAACATGAATTGTAAATTTAGATTTAAACTTATCATTAGTTTTCTATAATATTCTAATTTTTGCTTATCTAATTTATAATATAGTAAATTATAAAACTATTAGAATATTTAATAAATTATGAATGTACACTGACGACATCTATGTTGGATATTTTCAACTGTGCAGTTCTGAAAGGGATGGTTTTGGGTCCCGGATTAATATTTGAAAATTTCGTGGATTTTCAGATTTTTAGATATTCTTTGAATTTCTATAAGAAAGCGGAAATATTACTAAGAATGACATTAAACAATTTTTTTTTGTTTAGAACGTGTACAAACAAATACATCGATTGTAAGACTTTCATATTTTGCAAATATTGACAAAATAAGAAAAATATTTTGACAGTTTGTACACGTTTGATGATCAAATCAAAAATACAAATAAAGTCAAGAAATACGAATTTACAATATATTAAAAAATGGTTATTGCTTTAAAACACGAAAACGCGCAATCTATATTCTTTTTTCTTTGACCTACGCCACATGCAACCGCAAAAAAAGAAGTATTCAATAACTTTTTCTGTTAAAGTTATTTACTTCATTTTTCCAGTTATCAGAAACAAAAATGTTGATCGTGTTCACATCCTTTAATTATTGGATTTAAGTTTAGTTTAAAGGGGCAACCCTCGTAATTCTCAGTCAGCATCAGTTTAAAGAGGAGATTTTCCTATTCACATGGTACCCTTAAACCCTAAATCTAATCAAGTTTCTAAACTTCAAAATTTTTCCATTCTGACAGTTTTTCCATTATTTCTGAAGCAAGAAGTCATTTTGTAGAGAAACAACCAGTGAAAATAATAAGTTTTTATTAACAAAAACATGAATATCTTATTAATCTTGATCAAGTTTTGAGTTCTGTATCAACTCTATAATATTACAAAGACTGGGGGGGCGTCCCATGCCCCCCCCCCCAGCATTGCATGTTCAAAGTCCAATTTTCTTTTAAGACTCGAGGCTAATAATCTCTTCATTTTCTGCTCTCTCGATGATAGAATAAAATAATCTAATAAACTATATTTGAACAAAATATTACAAAATATTAATCCCTCGTTAGACAATCCTAAAATCAAGGGACAACTATTCAAATTCAATTTCCATTTCAGGAAGTTTGAACATTAAATGTTGTCGTCAATTGACCGTGTTTACCTAAGGTCGGAAATATGGAAGAACTATGATTGTGTTTGCTTAGATTTGTAAGGGAAAATCAAAAACTTAAATTTTAAGTTTTAACATTCATTTTGCCAAAATCTAAAGCAGGAGTATACATACATCATTTAATGCCTGATGAAAATGAAAATCCGAATGAGGGAAAATATAATATTTTTGATTCACAAATTTTCTCTGAATTTTTGTAATTTTCTGTCCCTATTTCTACTGGATTTTCTGTTAGTAAAATATTGCACATTAACCTTACTTAACTATGGGTTAGTAAATACAAAATACATAGGTTACAATAAACAACTTAATTTAACAAAGTAGAATGAAAATGGCTGCCAACAAGTATAAAAAAATACTTTTTGTCGAACAGCCAACTACTACTATAAAATTTGAGATTCCTGCCACAAGCGACTGATTTGGAGAAATTTAATTTTCCAATTCTTAAAAATAATCAAAGTCAAAAGTCCATTTATCATGGAGTATTGGAGTATTTTTCGATTCTTTTCAGTTTGTGTAAAGTTTGTCATATGTCTACAAAGTCATACATTAGAGATAAAAAATGCTGGTTTTATGAAGTTTAGGTGAAGAAAAATAAAACTTGTTGATAATCACAGCTTTGTTTAGAAGTTCAGTCTATATTAAAATCCAATTTTCCAGCAAACATGATATAAAAAAATATACGCTGGTAACTATAATAAATGTACAAATTGCAACTTATTCCACTCTGACAACTACAGTGTAATAAAAGGATTTTTAAAATCTTGAATTTTGTTTTTGTAAATGCCGAAAATCTGAAAATGCCTTAGGAAAATCGTTGAAATAGCTCTAAATGCCTTATACAATGCAAATAAGAAGTTTAAAAGGCTATTTATAACATTATAACCTTGAATATGAAATATTAATTTTGTTGAATTGAAATTTATCCAAATTTAAGACATGTGTTTCTCAATTTTTATTAAAAGCTGGATGAGAAAGTGTCCATCCTTGAATATATAATTATAATATCTATCACAGCAACAGCTAAATTCGGCGTCTTTAAACTGAGAACACATGGTTCAGAATTAAAGCAAAGTTTGAAATAGTTTAGCAAAGTTTTTACAATAATCACGCCTTTAATGAGTATTTAAAATAGATTCTGGATAAAATACTGTGTGCAAAGAGTCGCCATTTTTTCTTTAAAACTAAAATGCGCGAAAACCGGTTTGATCCCACGGTGGAAGCAGCGCGGGAGGCAGGTAGAGAAGCTAAAGCCCCTGTTGGGTAGTTGGCTCTGCACTACTACTGCTGCACTGAAGAAGCATGCTGGCAAAATTTGAATTCTTAAACTTAAAGTGACGTTTGTCGTAGAACTTCAAGAGAGCAGGGGAGAAAGGATGAAGATCCTGAAATAAAAACAATTTATTTATTTGGTACAATTTTATCTTCGCCGTACACAATTGCGCATTTTGTACGGAACTAACCATATCTAGTCTGAATACTTCTTGAAATACTTCTTGAAATTCAATCTCAGGCGCTATAGAAGTTAAGTTAAATTGAAGTAATGATGATTCTTCTTATAAATATATATAATTATAATATACCGTGTACCAACTTATACGTTGAGCAAATGTCGTCGTCGTATTCCACATTATTTGTGGCAAGTCTTTACCTTAAGATGGAGGTAATGAAGTTCAGGTTCAGGAGTTGTGTGTCCGCAGTCCTCGCAAACGTACATCTAACAATAAAAATATTTTAGCCTTATAAAAATAGGAAATGGAGGAACAGTTGACCCTGGACTAACCAGAGCTAGACGTGGACGTTTTATTTCTTTGAATTCAATGACGTAATGGTCTAAAAAACCAGAAACTTATTTTATTAAATTTACTGACTTACCTTTTTTACCTTCTTTTTTTTCTTTAAAACGTATGCGCCGACAAAAAGTATATAAAAGAGAAAAAAAAAATGTCTGTACTATTGCTGGGACAAGGACCAAACTGGATAAATCAGTGTAAATACTTTGCATTGTTGCCAGACTAAATATTTGCTGGAAATAATAGTGTTGGTAAACAACTAGCATAACTGTTAAAGGGTTAAATTTACAAATATATTCTTTACAATGTTTACTTTTCACCTTTCTTTATACAAAATCAGACTTGGATGACCACAAAATAAAAGAGAAAATATAAACTTTACAAGCACACTGTTTAAGTGTTAAAAACTGGAATTAACATTCGTTTGATAACGGTTTGATTCTATAGTTGTGTGCCATAAAATGTACTACCAATTGCTTGTCTATAAATTATTAACATGTGGTTATGGCCTCAGTGACGAGAAAATTGTGGACTTCTTTGAGAAAATTAAGAAACTGGAAATATTTAGTTTGTGAAAATTTGTCTTTTCTGTCTGGGATAACGGTTTTTAACTGATACCAAACACTTTTATATTTCAGGGACAACTTAAAATAACTTTAGGGATATTGGTAATGTTGTTTTTATCTATTAAATATATTTACCTTAGATCGTCTTTGCTTGTAATCATACTGATGTGCTACACCGTGCACCTTGAGACAGTGGGACTCCAGACTACACCGTTGAGTGAAACTTTTTTCACACAGATTACACTTGTACGGTCGCACTCCTGATATTATAATAAATCCCATACCTGTATGAGTTCTTGTGTGTCTCTTCAGATCAAAAGTATCGTTAAACCCCTTGCCACAGAAAGTACACAGATAGCGCTTGACGTCACTGTGGCACTTCATGTGTCGGTTTAAAAGACGTTGTAAGGTGAACGTTTTCTCACAAATCCTACAAGTAAATGTTTGAATAAATGTCATATTTATGGCCGGTTGTTGACAAACATGCGTCCATTTTAAAGATTTGCAATTTTATCAGCCGCGATATACAAAAATTATAATTAAAATATTTAACCTGCAAAGAAACTTAGAAGGATCGTCGGCCGGTCGGATGGCCGGCAGCTTCTCCTGCTCCTGCCGAACAGGTAAATCAACTGCCAGTGGGTTCTTTATGCCATGGCCGCCGTTAATAATCTCCAAAGGTGATTCCACCGGTATGCCAAACTAAAAAATGTTTACTTTAGGTTTATTTTGACAAATATACAACTTTCAAATATAAAAAGATAAAAATGTAAAATGATTTTCATTACAGACATAGATTGAAGTCGAATAAAAAATAAGAAAATACAGAATTCTTTAAACATTCTAATCGTATTTTGGCAGTAAAGCTTGGAAATAGATAGATATAAATATATACAACAGTCGGTTGATTTTATAGATACAAGGAAGGAGACTTTTTGTTAATAATGCTTTGATCCCTAACAAGGAATTATCAAATTACAAGTTTGTATGTAAACTGTTTATTGACAAATTCTCTTTGTTTACATATGTATGATGTTTCTGCTGTAATTGAAACCTTGGTAGAAATTAAAATCTAATTAGAAAGTCGTCTTGATCGTATTGATATATACAACTACAGTATTTAATCCAATATTATATAAGACGCTCGGTGTCTTAGTTTTTACTTTAAAGACCTGTTTTCCCAAACGAAAATAAATGGCAATGCAACATTGTTTAAGGAATTCTAATTTAATTTAATGTATTTTCTTCTCAGATTTAATCCAACATGTCTGATTGTTTGAGCAAGAATGTTGAATGGCTGCCCAGTGCCCTAGTTTTGTTCTGACGCTGCTATGAAAAAGATAAGGAATATATTGTGTAGAAAGGGTTTAAATATATTGTCTAATCTATCCAGGGTATCTAGGTTTCTACAGGCTACTAATAGTGTTTATAAACCCTCGTTATCTTATCCCAGAGTTTATTGATCGATTCTACTAAGTGGTTTCTGCAAGCACAGTTATCCAGGGGGGGGGGGGGGGTAGTACGGATTTAGTTTAAATAAAAGAAACCATTAGAATCTTTCTTGTGGATGTTTAAAGGTTATAAACATACATTATTATGTATTTTAAGAAAGGTACAAATATTGTTACATAATTAGCGAGGCCTGGGTGTCTTGAAAAAGATTCACATAAATGAAAATATTACGATGGGAGTAATAAACAATCGAAATGTTTGTCATTTAACCTTTAACTTCTAAGAATTGTATGTGTCTTGTCTTAAGAAAAAATGGCATTTTGCTCATTTACTGATCGATATAAACAAATATCTTATCCAAACATATCAAGCAAATAATGCGTCTAAGAAAGTAACAACATTTTTATACTATTTTGTTGCATTGCTAAGAATTATGTAATTAGTAACTGGTCTAACTATAAACTATGAAAAGCCCTGTACAATGGATGTTTTTACATCTAAAAAAGTTGACGGCATTTCTGTTAAAAAGTGAGAGTAAAGACGAAAATCATTCTTTTTATATTGGTTCACACTGTAACCTCAACAGAGATCCAAGGATGAAAATTGATTTCACACTAACTTTGTTAAATGCAAGTCATGTTGTATTTAAAGCTTAGCATCAAGTAAACTGGGAGACCAGGCAACAAAGCACTTGGCAGTACTTGAGAAGTAAAGGTAAAATTGAAATATTACAAAATCATCAACGTTTCAAAAATAAATAAGAAATAAAAGTTGGGGGTTGAAAAAAATAATAAAAAGGTTTTAAAGCATGTTTTATAGTTTTTTTTTTACATAAAAATTTTTCTAATATTCTAAATATTTTAAATAAATGAGCAAGCAGAAGTTGCTATACATTTGCTATTTTACTAAATTGACAAATATCACAGAACATTTATCCCGAAATGAACTGATTACTCGCTTCAAGCTCTAATGTTCTTCTACTTGTTTCTTTGTAACCTGATGCCATGCTATAAATATCAAAGATTTACACCATCAGGTTGCAAAGATATTAGGATTATAGTTTTTTTATGTTACTTAAAACATTCATGAACAGGAGAAGCTACTCACCCTTTGTTGTATAATCTGTATCCGCATCTGCAAAGATGGAATATTTGCAAGTTCCTCATCCTCGTCCGTACTTCCGGTTGATCTGCTTCTATCCAGTCCCATCCTGGTCGGGGACCCAGGGGTCCCAGGGGACAAAGACGGGGAGTACATGGAGTCCCTCGTCTCCCCTCCATCCTCCATCTTTATTATACCAAAGGAGGGCATTGAGTTCATAGTACTGGGGGTACTCGGTTCAACCTGCCAAATTAAAATTATGATTTTTGGAAGAACATTTTTTTAAAATTCTTCGACAAGTGTTTTCCTTACCTTAACCAGGTTTTGAAGAGCCATTGATGGAACAGGTTCGATCAAGGTTTTCAGGGTTGGAGCATTGATCGGGATAATCGTAGTTTCTCCTATACCCGGCACAGATATCTGTATACCTAGAGATTTCAGATCCAGGGGCGGGTAGTCTCCAGGTTTAGATATAAAGTTTGGTTTTGTTCCGCATATCTCCAGGGGGTTGATAAAACTAGACTCTCCAGTACTGCTTGAGGTTTGGATAAACTCTCCTGGAAATAACATTTTTGTCAACACACTCTCAAATATTTATTCGTCTAATCTAATTAGTTTCCAATCAAAATTCTTAGAATTTTTAGATTATTGTATTATCTACCTAAATCCTCGTATTTTTAAATTCTTGAAATATCTACCTAAATCCTCGTACAGGCTCTGGAAGGATTCCAGTCCAAGGTCCATGAAGGACCCGGAGTGATCTGGGACGGGGACAGAGGCAGCAAACTGTAGAAGATTGGTCGTCCCAGGGTCCAAACCTGAATTATTATTATTATTTTTATCATAGTTACCATTATTATTATAATCATCAGCATTAATGTTCTTATTATTATTATCATGGTTATCATTATTATTATAATCATAAGCATTAATGTTTTATCATTTTTATCATAGTTACCATTATTATTATAATCATCAGCATTAATGTTCTTATTATTATTATTATTATGTTTATTATTTTTATTGTTATAATCATCAGCATTATTGTTTTTATCATTATTATTAATGTTTAGGATTATCATTAGTATCTTTATTATTCTTGTTTTTACCTATATTTGAAATATCTGGTGGTTTATCTGTCTCCATGTTAACTGTAGCGTAAGGAAACTCTGTTTTTAGGTTCATGTTATCTAGCACCTAGATATATATATATATATATACAGATAGATAGATACATTGATAGATAGATAGATATATAGTTAGATCTATTGATGGATGGATTGAGTGCAATAATAGTTACAATTAACTTATTATGTGGAAAGGTCAAAAAAAATGCTTCATCAAAATAATGAATATAAATTATAAACGAAAAAATATGTTTTCTCGTTTTAAAGTCATTTTGTGCGCCTTTCATTGCAGGGTGTTTACAGTTTTTAAAATTTTGAAGAAATCTAAGTGATTTGTCTTTTCAGTGCAGATGTCCCGGACCTGTAGGGGGCTTAGATCAGCATTATCTGCCAACCATTGTTGTGTTGGACTATCAGGACATGCAAACTCATCCATATCATCCATATCATCTCTTTCCGTTGATCCGCCTTGGTTTCCACCCAATACACCCCCTCCGCCACCCACCCCTGCCAAACCTCCGCCGCTGGTAGATAAACCGGAGAAACCAGCTCCGCCAGATCCACCGGAGGAGTGTGAGATCGTGGAAGCAGAATGCGCCTCTTTACGATGCATTCTACGGCGGAACATTTCTTTTAACCACCGCCGTTCATCCTCCGCCTTCCGCCAGGACAGGACAGGTTGGATCCAGAAAACTTTGAATGCCTTCCTAATCTCCTGGTTCTTGTTTGTCCCGATGTTGTCCTGGTTATGTCGAGGGAGGAGAAGGTTGGGTACATCTTGAACCTCAGGTTCGAGATGATAAACCGCGGGAGGAAGATCGTCCATCTCTTGAGGTTTCTCTAAAAAGAGTAAATATTTTGAAATAAGTAATTTGATCATACATTATCACTCAACAATACAAAAAAATAAAGAAATACATATATTTCTCGCTTATTTCTCACGTTTCAAAGGAGAAGTGGGCAAAAAACTGCTCGATAGTTGCTTGAGAGCGTGAATATCTTGATTTGCAGTGATATACATACACAATACTAGTTAAACAAACACAGTTTGATCATAGTTTAGTATCCAAATGTTTGGGTAGTTTATATTATCGAATCTGATCACGCATCCAACTCTGTAATGTGCGATTTAGAATTTTAAAAGAAATTGAATATTCTTCAATTCTCTCTGTTTCTGTCGCTCAATTCATTTTATTTGAAATTAATTCTTGAAAAAGTATAATGCATGAAAATATGTTTAGTTTTTGCTATTAATGTTCAACGTTTATCCATCTATTTCTGTCCCTCTAAGTGTTCGAGGAGTGGGGATGAGAAAATTATAATTGTTGTTTGTGTGAAAACCATGCAGTGTAACATAAGCTAAATAAGATTTTCTGGTTTCTGCCACGTTTTCTTAGGTTTTCTCGACTCTGCAGAGTCTCTAGTCTGAGAGCGTTGAACTGCAGTGGTTTAGGCCTGAAACTGCCTGATACTGCCTGACTACAGAATATACTCAACTTGTGGATTCTTAAAGTTAGATTTAGAGGAAGTAAAGAACGATTGGGAGGAAAGCGAACCGAAAAAGACGATTGTTAAATAAAATGAATAACACAATTGTTAAAGAAAAAGTTAATGTTTACTTAAAAAGTAGAAAAAATAGCAAGATTAGTGTTGCTAATGTCTGATAATCTGAACCAATCTAATCGTAACCCTCAAGGGAATAAATGTTTTGCCCAATCACGGCAAATGATCAAATACGCAAATTCAAGTAATAAAAACTAAATGTGGGAAAACTAGCAGTGTTATGTATTTATTACGGTTTAGTAAGCATGTTAAATCATTAGAAAAATATAATTCAAAATGTCCGCCGGAAAAGGAAAGTTGAATATCATTGTGAATTACTTAATTATCAGGCTTCAACGCTGACCTAATTTTCCATTCCCCCTGTTGCCTGTATAGTATACATATATTCCCCCCCTTCTCGTTGATACCCTTCTAGATTAAGCTTTTCCGTCCCATCATTCAAACCAATCAATGCCATTCCCATAGTCAACCCCTCCCCCTTCCTGCATATGATTACCCCCCCCACCAACCTCCCCTTACCCTTATCCTAAAACTAATGAAAACTGAATCTTCTTCAGCTCTAAATTTCGCTTTCATTATTATTCTTAAAGTTATTTTTCGACATCCTATATTTTTAAACATAAAGAGGTTCATGTTTAAATTTTCCTAAATTTTAAAAAGTAAGTTTAATATTAGTGTTTGATTATGTAGAAAGGACTGTAGCTGAGTATGGACATAATTTCAATAATTTCATTTACACTTTACAAAGTGGCATGAAGGATTTAAAACGGAAACTATGTTAAAGGAAAACGTTTTAGTACACAATGAATACTCGAGGAAAATATATTTCTACAGAAATATTAAAACAAATGATTTCACATGCAGTTTCCGCCCGTGTATAGCTGCACCCTTCCTTTAGTCCTGCTGGTTGTCTATGGCAGGCATCGACTGCCTGAAGGCATCCAATCAAGCAGTAGTGAAAGCGAGGGCTGATGGTGGGTGTGGTGTGGTAATATGCTTGTATTAGGATTTGAATACAATGAAGTAATGGTTCAAATATGGGAAATAAAATGATTCTTCATATAACAATGTTTTAAGGTCACTAAATAGTATGAATTTATATAAAAATATTTTATTGAGCTGTATTTATATTTAAAATAAACATTAAAAATAACTTAAATTTTGTTTTAAATTCACCTTTTCTCCGGGCGTTAGGGTCGGAAGCAAGAAAATTTAGAATTTACGAAACAGTTCTAATTCTATCCGAGGGGTTTTCTTAATTTGAAGTGTTTATTTGATTTTTATTGCACTGCAAACCACAGTTAAATAAGTTAAATAACTTTAAGATCAAACATCACGCTTAACCCCCAAAAAAACAAATAAAGATCAAACATTACGCTTAACCCAAAAAAAAACAAATAAAGATCAAACATTACGCTTAACCACCCAAAAAAAATAAAGATCAAACATTACGCTTAACCCAACAAAAACAAATAAAGATCAAACATCACGCTTAACCCCCAAAAAAACAAATAAAGATCAAACATCACGCTTAACCCAACAAAAACAAATAAAAATCAAACATTACGCTTAACCCAGCAAAAACAAATAAAAATCAAACATAAAGCTTAACCCAACAAAAACAAATAAAGATCAAACATTACGCTTAACCCAACCAAAAACAAATAAAGATCAAACATCACGCTCAACCCCCCCAAAAAAATAAAGCTCAAACATTACGCTTAACCCAACAAAAACAAATAAAGATCAAACATCACGCTTAACCCAAAAAAAAACAAATAAAGATCAAACATCACGCTTAACCCAACCAAAAACAAAAAAAAATCAAACATTACTCTCTGCTGGGTTAAATAATGTACAGACCAAAATCACACACATCTGGTAAAAAATGTTTTAAAGAACGAAAATGCACACTCAACAATTCAGTAAAACGTCTGACATCTGACATGATTCATTTTACATCTTTCACATTCTCCGGTCAAACCAACAAAATACTTTTAAGCTTCTATCCGTGTACTACAGTGCAATAGGCATATAGAGCTTACATTAACACTGTTCTGCTTGCTTTTAAAAAAGTCATTAAAGCAAAAAACATTAATATTTTTATCTATATAAAACATAAAAATATAGAAGAACTTGGTTGGGGGGGG